GACTCGATGACGATGCGGTCCAACATGGCTGCCCATGTCGACCACGAGACCAAATTCTTCTGTCTGCTTCCACGCGTCACAAACTCGCGTCGTCCATTAAGGTCTTGCTGATTCATCTATGCCGAGTAAAAGATGCATTATCGGTTTCGATACTTAATGCTTAGGGAGATATCACCATTCATGAAGATCGCAATACTTCAGATATTTAATGAGTACATACGAGAATAGGTCTCGTGCCGATTGCTCACGATAAAACTATGATAACTGCAAAGATTTCGTAATTTATCAATTCACCACGATCATTATTGTTAGAGATATGTTTTTGATGTACGCACTTATCTTTCAGATTGTAAAATTAAGCTATAAAATAAGTTTTTAAGTGAAGTTGGCAATTAGACGATATATACCTATGCGATTAGTAGGTTATTTTTTGATGCAACGTTTAAAACGTTTAAAACACTATTCAAAAGTCTAGTCTTTATGCACAGAATTTTCAGAATTATAATTTTTTTATTTATAGATTTTTTCTCTTTTCAGCTTGTATGATTAACAAGTTTAATTAAATATAATCTTTATAAATCTCTCATGTTATCTTCAACATTATTATTCTAACTACACTTGAATTTTGCTTATCTATGAATTATTAATATTAACAAAATTATAAGAAGTTTTAATATTGTATATCTTTCTTCCTATTTTTACTCCCGACTGTTGCTAACTGTAGGTTGTTATTTGTAATTTGAAACATTAAAATGTAAAATTTGAAACACTAAAAATACATTTTGTGTATTCATATTTTCATGTGTACTATTTATTTTCAGGTATGATTGATTGTTTTGTCCGTATCCCACGTGAACAAGGATTCCTTAGTTACTGGCGTGGTAACTTTGCAAACGTCATCAGATATTTCCCAACACAGGCTCTGAACTTTGCCTTCAAGGATAAGTACAAGCAGGTATTCCTTGGTGGTGTTGACAAAAACACTCAATTTTTCCGTTATTTCCTTGGAAATCTTGCATCTGGTGGTGCTGCTGGAGCCACATCTCTATGCTTTGTCTATCCACTTGACTTTGCCAGAACCAGGTAAGATTCTTGAAGTATTTCATTTAACGTCTAATATATATTATGCAGAAATTAGCAAGCAACAGGAAAATTTACGAATAAATGTAATTTTATTTGAAATTTCAATAATATATTTGAACATATTCTATAAAATATATTTCAATAATATATTTGAACATATTATATAAAATATATTACTATTTATTTGTTAATAAATATATTTGCAAGTTTTGTAACAAAACTAAAAATTTCAATCATCAATAATGTTATTGATTGCATTGTCATATTCTTTTTTTATTTCCCTAGGTTGGCTGCTGACGTAGGCAAAGCTGGTGGTGAGCGTGAGTTTACAGGATTGGGTAACTGCTTAGCTAAAATTTTCAAGACTGACGGTCTCATCGGTCTTTACCGTGGATTCGGTGTGTCGGTACAGGGTATTATCATTTACCGTGCATCGTACTTCGGTTTCTATGACACTGCCCGTGGTATGCTGCCAGACCCTAAGAAGACTCCCTTCCTCGTTTCTTGGGGTATTGCCCAGGTAAGAAGATGATTTTAGACAATTGTATTTTTATAAACTCGTACAACTTTACTACACGAATTGTTTCACTTATAAAATGTTTAAATTTATTACAGGCTGTAACTACTGTCGCGGGTATTGTATCTTATCCCTTTGACACAGTACGTAGACGTATGATGATGCAGTCTGGTCGTGCCAAGTCCGACATCCTCTACAAAAACACTCTTCACTGTTGGGCTACTATTCGCAAGACGGAAGGTACTAGTGCCTTCTTCAAGGGCGCGTTCTCTAACGTCCTCCGTGGTACTGGTGGTGCGCTTGTACTCGTGTTGTACGATGAAATCAAGAACCTTCTTTAAAAAACTAAAACAATCCTCATCACATTACTTTCACAATCACAAACATCATCAATATTCACACCATCCGATTTGATAGCGATTCCCAAAAGCCGATAGACAGAAGAGACTTTACTGTCGGCTGTATAATCAAGTAATTCAGGCTGAGGATGTTGTTGGACGTAGCAGCTCGTAAAATGCATGAAACTCGGCAAAAAACTATAAACAAAAAAAAGAACATAGAAGAGAATCTGCTTAACTTATTGCCGGATTCAGTATTTTCCCACAGCGGCTGACATTACGTATTTTCGTATTCCATTATATTGTGAAACTGACGAAGAGGCAACTAGAATCGCGAAAAAGGCATCGCGAACACCTGTTATCTGGAAAAAATGTTCCACACATGCAACGCTGAGTAAGTAGACCGGTTGGAATAATAAGTATCGAAAGTAATAATTGCCTAGAGAACAGAGAGTCAGCGCACGTGAAACCAGCGAGAGAGGGGGACGCGCGACGAAATGTCATCACGGCGATGGCGGGGCGCGTAGCCTGGGCCGCCCCCCGCCCTTATTCTCGGCCCGTTGTAGATAATTCATAATTCGTAATTAATTAACTATCATTTTAAAGGTACAGCCAGTCCGTTAAATTTTTTGATGGATAATAATTTAATTTCGCACTCCAAATAATTATGTGTAAGAAGAAAAGAGTTACTCAGAATGTATGCATCTAATCTGTTCATGTTAGGATGCATGCAGGGAAAGCAGCAAATCAATAAAACGATATAAAATTTCATATATTTGAAAATCTTTTTTCCTCCTGACATCATCAAGAATTAGAGAGAAAGCTAACTTTCTCATAGCAAATTTTTGAATCAAACTATCTCACTAACTTAATTGTTAGAAACAAATTTTAATAAATTAAGGTTGTAGACATTAAATATTCTTTTCGGTTAATTTAACTAAAATATTAATATGATATAAACTGTGACATACTTTTCCTATTTTAATAAATTAAGATTGTAGACATTAAATATTCTTTTCGGTTAATTTAACTAAAATATTAATATGATATAAACTGTGAAATACTTTTCCTACCGATATCGATTTCTGATTTCCGTGAAAATGTACAAAAAAAAACTAAAATTTCAATACATTGAATATATTCATTTTAGTATGCAAAACGTTTCATGACACATGTTGAAACATCCATTTATTTTGTCTCAAAACATTTATCATCCGATCAGGAAAAGGGTACGTTTTTGGCCATTATTTTTTTACTAATTAAATCAAAACTGAAGTGAAGAAAAATTATTTTCTGTTATCAAAATTTATGGAATGCTTGATACAACCGAGTAGTGTACCCTTGACTTAATCAGATGGAACGTACAAGTCATTTATGTAAACATATAAATATACTAGGCTTATTAATATTTTCTTATATTTAACATTCATAGAAAGTGAATTATTTTTAAATTTTTGTACAAAGATTTCTGCTTGACGACTGACGATATATTGAAACAGGAATGACAGAAAAAGAATATATGGAACATGACATACCATTATTTTATATACAGGTTGCAAGCAAATGTGTTGAATCACACAATCATCATACAGTCGTTCTATTAGAATCGCCCGCTATTATGTCCAAAATTCGACTAATGCCAGGCATATTCAATACAGTTCCCAATAAAGGCACCCTTCGTAGAAAATTTATTGCTACTGGTAGAAAACCACTAGAACAAAAGTGTAACAAATTAATTTTCCAAACATAACTCGCAAAACCTGTGAGTTTATTTAAGTACTTACCTGAACAACAATACAAAACCATAGGTTTCTAAAATCATTCCCACAATGGGCCAACCCATAAGTACTACAAAAACCCCTCCTAGAAATGAGGCGCTGGCTTTCATTTTATGCCTTTGAAAGAAGAAATTTAAAGTCCTCCATGGTCCGATTACACACGCAAGTCCTGCTATAAATAAGAGCTAAAAACAGCAATTTAAAAAATCAGTCTGGTGTAGGATTTATATAAACAAGTAACAAGAGCATAAATCTTACATTTCCAATGGCAAGTAAACCCTTATCAAAGAGTAACAGTACACCAAGAAACAAGAAGGAAATTCCAAATCCCGCGAGTCCCACTCCGATTTCTGAAACAGATTTTTTATAGTTAAATCAAAGGTATTTAATTGTTGTCACAGATATTTGCGAGCTTTTTGTTATAAGTCAATCGAGAAAGGTTTCAGATCTTTGTACTTACTCTGTGTATCCGTGATCTCAAACATTATTTACAGAGAATTTTCTCTTAGAGATGTGTTTCTTGTATTTGATGACTCGATTTGTTTGTGCGTGAGCGTGGAGAAACTTAACCTATATCCACGTCATTGGTTATGATACGGCATGAGTTCACTGTGCAATATTGAGCAGTTTCTCGTCGATTTTATTGCAAACGAGTACTTTTGTACTCGCCTTTTATACATGAAAAAATCCTTTGAAAACGAGTAAATGCATCAGATAAATGTTTTGACAGTCGATATCCTATACATGCATCTTTAAAAAATTGTGCAAAATTACTTTTAAAAAATCTGTTGGATGACTGGAGCCAATTGAAAGCTAAAGCCTTAATTTAAACATTATCTTGAATCTTGGTCATTCCGATTCGCTACAATTGGTCCCGACTGGAGTAAAGGTTTATCCAGAGATACTTGCATATAACCATGCATAATAGATATGCAAATTGTCACGTGTCTAATTTAAATTCACATAAGATACATAATCAATTGATTTTTTATATACATAAGTATATGCTTACATTAATGATGTAAATTTGTCTGCATTTGTCTTTAAAATTAAAAATAAAATTATTAAAAAATTGCAAATTAAAATATCCATTATCCAAAATAAGATTAACATTATAAACTGAATTTAATACAGACTTGTTTTGTAGAAATATATAAAAGAGAAAAAAGAATACGAGTGCAAAAAAATGATTAAAAAATGAACAGACTTCCAATATTATTATGTTTTGCAACGTTGGCATGATTGACAACAAATCGAGCTTATTTTAGAACACGAGACGCAGCGCACTATCGAGTCGCGACGTTACGCGTAGTACGTACTGGGTTTGACGATTCCTCGTGGCAATCATTGCACAAAGAGGTTTGATCGATTTACGGAACATTTATGTGAGAACGCAAGCGAGCGGACATGATGTCGGTGATGCAGCCATACATGGTGAGTTCGATGTCGAATTGAATCCGTACGCGATCTCCGGTAAGCGGCCGTTTGACATTTAAACGGATCTTGTGGGTTCCGTTATTACTTTACTCGTAAGGCGAAATAATCTCACGATCTTCTCGCGATCTTGCAGGATATTGAGAGTTCGAGGAGTTACATTGACGAGCTGTATTCAACAGATCCGCAAAAATGTCTGGATGCGATTATGTGAGTGAGAATCGCGTTTAACTTACACTATAATATGAAATTTTGGGCGATTTTGTTCACATTTACTTCTTAGATTTTGACTGATCAAAGTTGTATTAACATCTTTCACATAAATGATCTCTCTCAGATGTCTCAAGAATTCAGTGATTGGCAGCAACAGACAAAAGGGTTCGGTTATAGCTCAAGGTGTGGTGCCTCGACTATTACAATTACTCGGAGACACGTCTGGTACCATCAGTGATCGTATAAGATTAGAATCAGCAGTAACGTTGGGTTCTTTAGCCAAGGGTACGGATCAGCATGTACTCGCACTCATAGATTTAGGTGTAGTTCCATTACTCCTTCAAGTCTTGGTGTCGGCGCCAACTCCTGAAATTTCCACGGATGGCAAGATGAAGGTACCAGACTTGTTGAATGAGGCATGTTTGCGATGTCTGCGTACCGTATTCCAGCATACCGCGGCACCGGTTCATTCTATTTATCAAGATCCTGCGTTAGTACCACGATTGTTATCTTTAGCAAGTCGATCAGTTACCTGTCAAGTGTGTGTTGCGACGATATTAACTACAGCATGTAAGGTAAAGAAAACAATTTAAAATTTATGAAATAAATAATATCAGAGTCATGAAGAAACATTAATTTCTAAATTATTTATCAGACAGCAGAGGAACAAAATGCTTTGTCCAAAGGAGGAGCAGTAGAAACACTGGCGATGCAATTGGATTCTCCTCTAGCGGATGTCCAATTACCAGCTTTAGCCTGTTTAGCAAACATGTGTTATCAGAATCATATGGTATCGACTATGGTGGCGTCGGCCAGCACGAGCAATACAGTCCATGGTAGATTAGTGCCTGTAGCGCTAGGTCAATTAATGGGACGCGAGAAGAGTTCATTGATACAGCTCGAAGCGGCGAGGTGTATCGCGTACATGCACAGAGCTGGTGCGTTACCGTCTACTGATCCACGAGTCGTCTATCGCGCTTTACCTTGTCTCGTCAGATTATGTCATCGTGATCGACCGCCGCGCGAAAGAGTCGCCGCGGCCGAGACGCTCGCATATCTGACCGAGGTTGATACGGATTTACAGCGCTTAGCGTCTATTAGTAATCATCTAATACCAACATTGGCAGAGCTGCTGAGACCACATCCACAAGTAAGCAATTACATTAAATACATGCGTTAAATTATGTGTAGAGAATAGTGTAAAATAAAATTAATCACATTCAGTATTAATGCACCATATTCGCTGTTATCAGATTACATTATTTTTGTAATGATATTTATATTGAAATGTGTGATTTTTTTGTCAGGTACAGGATGCAACGTTAACGCAAGATATGCGACAAGCTGCGTTCAGAGCATTCGCGTCTCTCGGTGCTAACGATGAAGATATTCGGAAGCGTATTATTGAAACAGAAAGTCTTATGGAACAAGTTGTTTCTGGTCTCCAAGATCCTGGCGGCTCCCGCGTTCGTTTAGCCGCGGTTAGATGTTTGCACTCCCTTTCGAGGAGCGTGCAACAGCTCCGCACTACGTTTCAGGATCATGCAGTGTGGAGGCCACTTATGCAGTTGTTACACGGAGCAGACAAGGGGTTGGAGGGTAAAATATGATAATACATTTATACCAAGTATTACAGATATACAATAAATACTGAAGAGTCTGTGTGTTGCATGCACATACTGCATGTAAGATACAAAAAATACGTATATTTATAGCCTTAAATTTCGAATTAATATTTTAATCAAAAGGAGAGATACGCAATATCGAAAAAGAAAATTATTTATGTGCATTGTGAATTACTCTTTCTCTATTCTATATAAGCCAAGAGAAGTGTAGTTGAGTAAAAATACATGCATTAAAAAAATTTGCCACTTTTTAGATTTCTGTCAAAGTCGGCCATATTAACATTTTGTAAAGAAAATAATTTAGCTGATATTTTTAGATATAGAAGAATCTATTGTATGATGTCAATATGGACGTAAATTCCGATCGTGGCAACATTTTTTTCATGCGTGTAAATGATAACGATAAATACATCCCTATTTTTCTCTGCATTGTAAGATTATTCTTCAAAAAAGAAGAAGAAAAAAATAAAGAGACCAGTGTTTATAATTAGCTTTTATTATTAGTATTCAATCGCCAACTTTCATATGGGTTACTATTAATATTGTTGTCATTATTGTACCATAGGTAGAGGCGAAAGTGAAGATGATTTATTAACTGTTGCCTCGAGTACTTTATGTAATTTACTATTGGAGTTTAGTCCGAGCAAAGAACCGATTCTCGAGTCCGGCGGAGTAGAATTATTGTGTTCTCTCACTAAACGACCCGATCCGGCACTCAGACTGAACGGCATTTGGGCCCTAATGAATGTGGCTTTTCAAGCGGAGCAGCGTGTAAAGTCACAAATACTCTCATGCTTGGGCACCGATCAAATCTTTCGTCTCTTGGCCGATCCAGAGTTAGCTGTTCTGATGAAAACGCTGGGCCTGTTGCGAAATTTGCTCTCTACTAAAGCTCATATAGATCGTATAATGGGCGAGCACGCGACTCACGTTATGCAAGCGGTCATTCTAGTACTGGAAGACCCTGAACATCCGGTGGATGTCAAAGAGCAAGCACTTTGCATTCTAGCCAACGTGGCTGACGGTGACCGAGCGAGAGATCACATCATGGCTAACGATGACGTACTCAAGAAGCTTATGGATTATATGGTTCGTAGTGTATCATTATTACAAGTATTTCATTCATTGCACATTTTTAGGCAATTAATCTCATTAACAAACGAAACTTTCAATTAATATTCTATTAATAAATCGCGTTACTTGTGTTTATAAACGATTATTTTATTTATAAAGGATGGAATGATAAAAAAAAAGTTTTAACATGTTGCCATGCTACATTTGATAAAAGTTCTATCTTTTATATATAACAGATTGAATTGCTATCCATATATGAGTGACGCAAGCTCTGCTGGAACGCATGTGTCGCCCATATGTGAATGATATGGGCAGGCAACGTGTTAAATATTCTAAGTTCGGCGATGCTAAGTTTGTATTAAATTGATTGAATATACGCACTCCTCCGAGTTTTATTTGTTAATTTAATCTCAAATGTCCATTAATTGATTGTACATCTATGATGTATATTTTATTTAGATGCATAACAACGTCAAGTTGCAAGTTGCAGCGACTTATTGTGTAGGCAACCTAGTTTGGAGAGAGGAACCAGGTTCTCTACAACGACAAGCGCGTTTGAGAGAATTAGGAATTTATCATATCTTGCAACAATTACGTCAAACAAAAGACGCTCAACTGTTAGAGAAGTAAGAAAGATAAACACTATATATTATTGTCCTTTGTCGTATTGTAAATTTTTCGTATATTGATCTTATTGTTATTAATTTTTGTTTCAGAGTCAAGACTGCCATGTCGCAATTTTATGATGCTTGAACTTGGAACACATTGCTGACGAAGATTAGGTCATGATTTCAAGTGTCTTTTTTACATAAGTATATTACAAGTTTAGCATTAATACTGTGATCACTTCGGTTGATGATGTACTCGAAAGTTATAAACAAAATGAACAAATTGATATTTCTGAGCCTATGCGTGTAATCTGTCTGTAGTATTTATTTAATTTATAGAGAAAGGGAGAGAGACAGAGACAAGATATAACGTTGCGTGTATGTAATCCATTTTATCTCGAGAGAAATGTTTCATATGTATTAATTTACATTAGTTTACAAGCAGAGGCTTCAGACATTGTGAATTGTCGTATGCAATAAGAAAGAATTAAGATGATAATTAAAACCATAAAAAAGAACTTGAAATAAATAGAAAACAAATGCATTTATCCGATATATACTTCCATACCTTTTGGATATTTTCGTTAGAACTACACAAAGAATTCCATAATAAATTTATTTATATTGAAGATTTTGTAATATATTTGAAAGAAAATATGACTAGCATAATGTTCAATAAATATTACATTTTATACCTTTGGTATGCGTCTCTAGCTTATATGAAAAATTATGTAATTCAAATATATAGTTTTGATTCTTACAATGATCTCATTAAAAATAAATATGGAATGTTAAATTTAAAAGCTTACAAGTTCGTAAATACTGATACAAATGTATCATGTGAAAACATTGAATATGCACTCGCTGCACCATCGTACTCGTCGACAACAAATAATAGCTTAATCAGTTTTACTTGTTATAAGTATCAAGTAACCAGCATCAGAGCAATACTATTAAAGTACGTTACGAATTAAGCAGAAGCGTTGCTATCAGCGTTGGAAAGATTCTCCATTGGATTGTTAGCCAATGGATCCAATTCTGCGAACAGGTCCAACCACGAGTTACCTTTTTGCTTTCCAGTCTTATTCTTTTTCTATAAAAAGAGCATCGTGATATTGATTGTGCGAGATTCATATTATTGCGGATTCAGCTTGCGAAGTACTCACTTTGTCATCCGTGCTAGTCATACTTTTCTGTCCCATGCCTCGTGCTGCATCTCCTAGACTCTGTTTCAAGATATTTGGCGGCAGAAAAGTATCGTTTGACATACCCTCCCAATCATTGCTCACGCATGCTTGCTTATCGTTTAAGATTTCGTCGAAAAGTGCCGCGCTTTCCGAGGTCAATAAATTTAAAGATTCTTGCTGTTGAGCCTCCGACAAAGAAGATAAATCAGTCAAATTAAAATCAGTGTCACACTCCCCGAATATATCCATTACCAACTTCTGTTCTTCAGAACTTTTACTGAACTCGGACTGATCGGTTTCCTTGCTTTTGTTAACCAATTGTTTATCACTACTGGAGACTTCTTGATCCAAGTTGAGATTTCCAAAAAATTCTTCCAGACTTTTACTATTTTCTGTATTATTACTATTATACACGATTCCGTTTCTCGAAGAACTTGTAGCCGTATCCAAATGTATTAATGTGTCCTTTGGTTCATTTTCTAGATCCAAGAGCTTTTCATCTTTCTCGTCTTTTTTCAATGTGTTTTCTGGATTTGCAGCAGCTTCTTGAGCTTCCTCAACATCGTCATGATAATCCATATCAAAAAATGGTATTCTATAAAAATTTATATCATATAAAAATTGACACTATGTAATCTTTATTCTCATTTTATTTCTCATTTTTATTTTAACTCACTTGTCCTTGTCCTCTGAATCGTCACCACCAGTTTCTTGTGCTAATTTACTCGAGGTTTCAGCCAATTCTCGCACAACAGTAAAATCATAACGTTGATAGCCTTTGAAGCTGCTTGCTATTGTGGAATACGCTTGTGTAGATTTCTTTGTGAAATTTAAGAGTGTACTTTGATATAAAACTAAGGCATGGCTGAACATATTACATCTTGCTGCCGCTAATAGGTCGACTTTCTGAAGACAGTCAAGGGCCAGATGGTCGAATACTATTTTGCCCCTAAATCGACATAAATCTATTAAAATATGTTTTAAATACAGAATTAAATTAAACTTGTACAAATGCAAAGTCCAAAAAGTTCAATACAACAGTTGAATAGTTTAATTGGCTAATGTGATTGTACGTTCTGTGTTGTATGAATATAGAACCTACTGTTTAACACGCGCTTGAACTTTTTTAAATCTTTCTACTTGTTTGGACGTATCTGGATCTAAATTTTGGGAAATCTTTTTCATCCATGATAGGGCAGCTCGATATTCTGTGCGGGCTTTTTCCATTGCTTGCACATTTTGTAATGTATCTTCAATAGCTCTTTGCCTAAATGTTTCTACTTCTTGATACAAACGACCCAAAGGGGCTCTCAGTGCAAGTCTTTGCTGTCCAGAGTAGGATAAAGATTTGCCAACTGCTGACATCATTTTGCCAGCACGAGTTTTATCTTGTTTCCCAGCATCTTTCAAAAAACGTCCCATTGCATTTTCCTCCTGGGCTAAATCTATATAAAATATTCAAATTACGCCACAATATCACAATGGTCAAGTTTATCTTAAAGAGCAAAACTATTGTTATATAATTATATTAATTGAAATATTATCTTGTATTAGAAATTGTGTTAAAACGCACTGCATAATCTTTCTTGATATCTATCAATGACCCTTTGTAAGTAAGAACAAGACTCTTGAATACTGCGAAACAACTCTAGCTTTGCATCCAATTCAGCGTCTGAAGCAATTATACATTCATCCTCCTTTTTTCCTAACTTTCGTGACAAAGCCTGCTTTGTCACCCAATAATGGTGTTGCATTTTTATGATGGCGGAATCATCATGCATATTAGACTTTTGAACCCAGCAATCGAAGGCATTTCCTGATATACCCGGTGTACTTTTGTTACTATATATAGAATATAAAGAAATATTGTAAGTCTCTCTTTGATTATTGAATATGGTGATGATTAGTAGAAGATATGCAGAATCTTAATAAAAGCAGCACAGTTCAATTGTTAAGCATAAATTAATTGTACTAAAATAATGTAATGTCCACAAATTCTACAAATTTATCCTTCTAATTTTTTAAACACAACTGTGATGGGGCAATAAACATATAATTCATAAAACCAATTTTATACAGATATCTATTAATAACTTAGAAATGTAAACTACCATATTGATTTAGTATAGTTAGCTCATTTAGACTTTAGAGAAAGGTGATTATTATCCTCATTATTCGAGTTGTCATTTCGCCTCTGCACTTACATGCAACGTCATCAGCGAAGATCAGCTCGAGCAAACATTTTTCTCTTCCGAGCAATGATATTTAAATGGAAAAAAGATAAGATACTTACTAAGCATTCATAACGGAAGACCTGCCGAGTGTGGGTTAATGTTTACAATCACGAAGCATGAGCTCGAAACTGTATCGTTATTCAACTGTGTATCACATATTGCACATATAACATTCCTCGCACACTATACAATTGCATTTGTACTGCACAATTGTTAATTACAGCGTTTAACAATGACAACAATCAAGCAATTCTTACATGACAGTGTATCATACAGGAAAGCCACGAAGGCTAACTTATCATGTCTGACAAGAGCAATCACCAGCCAATAGGAATGTTGCAGTGGCTATACGTCACGAGTTCCTCGATGTGCTGCAATAAAAGAGTAGAAAAGAAAAAGTGTACAACTATTTTTTACTATTACGTTAATTAGTTATTTATTTTATATATACGCGTAAATGTACGCGTTTTTTATTTCTAAATTTAATAGGTTTCATTTTAATCTCATGTCGATTACTTGCCGACTATAAATAAATAGAATAAAAAAATTAAATTTATTGAAAAACTTACAATTATTTTATTTAGATAGCGCCACTAAAGATTTTAATGTATCGAGATATCTATTTTTATTACGCATTGAGTAAAGCTATCGCTTAAATTAGAATAGCTCGAAATATTTTATAACAATTTTGAGGACTCTAGATTTGAATAGAACATTTGATTGCGTTTTATTTATTAACTCATCGGTAGGTGTTTAAAATTTTAATATATAGCTTGATTTGGAAATTTTATTCCTTTGACAATTATCTCTTCCTATAGGTTAGTGCAACGTTGGACTATAGTTGCGAAGCAAATCGAAGCTTTGTCGTAATAGAGAAAAATCAGAAAAATAGAGAATATTCTAGAAAAGAAGACTTGCGTAACGTAATAAAACTTCAATTGCACATATCGCGTGTTTTTTCGCGAATGTCGGAAATTCTTCCAGTCTTACGTAAACGTAATGATCTCATTTGAACAGGCTGTCGCGTTTTTTTATCGTTTCTAGAAAATACGTGAACGATTGCTTCAAGCGTCATACACAGCGATATATCCAATTAATAAACAAATTTTTTATTTCATTGATGTACGGTATATCCATACAAGCAAAACGTGATTTACGCATAGCTAATTATAGTCGTGAATCTTTTTGGCACGTAGCTCGTTCCAGTATTTTCCTACATTCGTAGCCTCTTCTCTCTCTTCATCTAGTTTATTTATACGACGTGTTTTTGTCCTTCTCTCTCGTGTACTAGAAGGTTCGCCAACTGACTAGAAACGACTCGTAGATTCGCGAAACCGCGCCGCGATTGGTAATCTATGGAAGCTTCTCGAGCGGGCGATTCGGTATATTAAAAGCGCGGCGCGACACTCGCGTCATCAGTTTCACAACAAACGCGAAAGAGTGCGAGTGTGGTGAATAAGTGAATTTGTTCGGTAGCGATTCGCATAGTAAATCGACGAACTACATCGTAATAGAGATACAGATATACGAGGTAAGTGTTAATTGTCTTGTATTCACATGTGAATCTTTTATTATAGCTCTATCTTGGGAATTAAGCGTGTCGCGACGTGAGTTGATTGTTTTTTGGTTAATTGCGTCGGTTGGAACTGTCTAAAGTTTTCGAAATTTGAGATGTTAAAAACATACATTTGTTAATTTTTTATAAATTTTTTTATATGTGATTAAATAACTCAATTTTGTTTTTTGCAATTAGTGACGCAGTATATCGATTAAAATAAAACACAAAAAAACATAGACGCTTTGTTACAATCGTTATATTAGAAATATTCGAGAAGTTTGACGATATACTGCGTCACGTTCAAGCGCAACGTTCACAACGATCGAGTAACTTCAAATTGTTTTTTTATCGTGATGTGCATATAGCTTATGTTGTATTATTGTTAGTTGCAGTGTATCTGATTAGATTGAGACTGCGATAAGACACGCAAATAACAATGTCTAAAGCACCAGCGGTTGGAATTGACTTGGGCACCACGTACTCTTGCGTGGGTGTTTTTCAACACGGGAAGGTTGAGATCATTGCTAATGATCAGGGCAATCGGACTACACCGAGCTATGTGGCTTTCACCGATACCGAGAGATTGATCGGCGATGCGGCGAAAAACCAGGTTGCCATGAATCCTAGCAATACCATCTTCGGTAAGTGGACTTTTCACACTCGCATGCGACTTATTATCGCATAAGAATATCTTCTGAGAAAGAGCATCGATCTTTTGCGCCTATTTTATCAACATGAATGTTATTTTGCTGATTTATTTTGATGATTATTATGATTGAAGAATGATTTTGATTTGACTATTGTACAAATTGAAATTGAATGAATTGAAATTGAATGAATTGAAATCGTTTTTACTTGAAATATGACATTTAAAAATTTTTATATAAATGATGAAATATAGAAAAATTTTGGCTTAATTAATTGAAAAACATAACTATTTTTATATTTGTAAAAATAGTTATGTTTTTCAATTAATTAAGCAAAAAAATTTCTATATTTCATCATTTATATATTTTCATATTTGTTAAAATAGTTTAATGTTCTATTTAAAGCAAAATATAAAATTATTGAACGATACATTTTTACAACTAGTAAAATATTAAAAATAGATTATACTTTAAAGTTTTCATCAGAATTGCTTGATTTTGAAATTGTTTGAAGTTGAACTTGAAACTTATACACGTCTCGACTGGTTTTACTGCACCACTGACCTTACATAATACATATGCTTTTGTATGCGTGCAGCACTCATTCATAGTGCATATAATTTCCTTCTCCTCCGCCTACCCATTTTTTACATTGTAGCTGAGTGTTTTACGTCGCAGTTTTATGTAATACTAATTTATGCCAGCATCTAATGGCTCTGTTGGCGATCTATGTTGGATCAAAATCAAAATAATTCACGCGATATATTTTCCGTTAAATGTGGGACATACATTCATTTAGTTTTTTTATGCAATTTACAAACAATTATACAAATGTGATATTACATTTCATAAAGACAATTGTTTTTTTTTGCAATTAATAAAATTTATGGTAAGTATAGATTATTTTTTTTTTTTTAATAAAATAATTTTATAATTGAGTTACATTAAAATAGCAAGTATTGGAGCAAATCAAAGTGCTGGCAAGTATTTTTATTTTTGACTCTGCGACAATTCAGCATTCTACAACTCATTCAGCATTCCTTCACCATCCGATACAATCCACAGGATCCTTCTTTCCACTTAACTACACAGTGTAGTCTAAAAGATAATTTTTTGAAGAAACAGACAACTTACGATCAATTTTTACTTCTTTAAAGACGCAAAGCGTTTGATCGGTCGCCGGTTCGAAGATGCGACGGTACAAAGCGACATGAAGCATTGGCCGTTTACGGTGATCAATGAAGGAGGCAAACCGAAAATCAGCGTGTCTTACAAAGGCGAGACGAAGACTTTCTTCCCCGAAGAGGTGTCCTCTATGGTTTTGACGAAGATGAAGGAAACGGCGGAAGCATATCTGGGCAAGACTGTTACGAACGCCGTCATCACTGTACCAGCTTATTTCAATGATTCTCAGAGGCAAGCGACGAAGGACGCCGGCGCTATCGCCGGTTTGAATGTTCTCAGGATAATAAACGAGCCGACGGCAGCTGCGATAGCGTACGGTCTCGATAAGAAAACTTCAGGCGAGAAGAACGTCCTGATCTTCGACTTGGGTGGAGGTACCTTTGATGTGTCGATCCTGACAATTGAAGACGGCATCTTTGAGGTGAAATCTACGGCCGGCGACACGCATCTCGGCGGAGAGGACTTTGACAATCGAATGGTGAATCACTTTGTGCAAGAATTCAAGAGGAAGTACAAAAAGGACTTGAGCACCAACAAGAGAGCCCTGAGACGCCTGAGGACGGCCTGCGAGAGGGCGAAAAGAACATTGAGCTCGTCGACGCAGGCGAGCATTGAGATTGACTCGCTGTTCGAGGGTATCGACTTCTACACGTCCATCACTAGGGCCAGATTTGAGGAACTCTGCGCCGATATGTTCAGAAGCACCCTCGAACCTGTGGAGAAAGCGCTGAGGGACGCGAAGATGGACAAGGCACAAGTACACAAGCATAGTTCTAGTCGGTGGCTCTACCAGGATACCAAAGATTCAGAAGCTGCTTCAAGATTTCTTCAACGGCAAGGAACTGAATAAATCCATCAATCCGGACGAGGCTGTTGCCTACGGCGCAGCGGTTCAGGCAGCTATTCTGCACGGCGACAAGTCTGAAGAGGTTCAAGATCTGCTTCTGCTGGACGTGACTCCGCTGTCGCTGGGCATTGAGACGGCTGGCGGTGTCATGACCACTTTGATCAAGAGGAACACCACGATACCCACGAAGCAGACGCAGACGTTTACCACGTATTCCGACAATCAGCCGGGAGTACTTATTCAAGTCTACGAGGGAGAGAGAGCGATGACCAAGGACAACAACATCCTTGGTAAATTTGAGCTGACGGGAATACCACCTGCGCCTAGGGGCGTACCGCAAATTGAAGTTACCTTCGACATCGACGCCAATGGTAAATTCAAAGCTGCAAATAATTTCTTTTTCACTCAAAGATGCCATTGTTCCACTTATTATTGTTCGATCAACATTTTCCGTAACTTGTATTTCATCTTCCAGGTATATTGAATGTCTCTGCGATTGAAAAATCCACGGGCAAAGAAAATAAGATTACGATTACCAATGACAAGGGTCGTTTGTCGAAGGAGGACATAGAGAGGATGGTGGACGAAGCCGAGCAATACCGATCGGAGGATGAACAACAGCGAGAGAGGATTTCCGCCAAGAACGCTCTCGAATCGTACTGCTTCAACATGAAGAGCACGATGGAGGATGATAAGATTAAGGATAAAATCGACGCGTCTGACAAAGAGAAAATTACCTCCAAGTGCAACGAGGTCATCTCATGGTTGGACGCCAATCAATTAGCGGAGAAAGACGAATTCAATGACAAGCAGAAAGAACTAGAGGCCATTTGCAATCCTATCGTGACAAAACTCTATCAAAGTGGTGGTGGAGTACCTGGTGGCTTCCCTGGTGCAGCAGCTGGTGGAGCAGGACCTAATCCTGGTGCCGGTGGCGCCGGAGGCGCCGGACCAACTATCGAAGAAGTCGATTAAATCATTTAACTCTTGTTTTTTCCACTCTTATTTAAGGAACATCAAATTTCATTTCATTTTATTGTACAGTTCGTATGGTTGTTTAACTTAAATATTTATTTTATTAGGTCCTTGAATAAGTTCTCGCTGTTTCTTAAAAGATGGCGTAGCGGCACTCTGTGCATGGAATTTCGTACGGAAACGCATCAGCTAAGTAGTACTATATGTAACCTCAAATTCTAGTAGATACAGTTTACCACAGTGTCAACCACGTGTTTAATTACCTATTGCGAAAATGTCTACTTTTGTGCCAAATAAAGTGTTTTTGCGGGGAATTTTATTGCACTGCTTTATTCAAAAGAAATCTGCAGCTGAAGCACACAGAATTCTTGTTGAAACATATGGTGACAATGCTCTGTCGAATACGACATGCAGAGACTGGTTTAGGCGTACTTTAAAAATAATGTACTTTGACCTTGAAGTATAAAGTAACGTTCTGGAGCACCGACAAAGTTTGAAGACGAAGAATTGGAGGCATTGCTTGATCTAGATCCATGTCAGACGCTAGTAGAGCTCGGGAAAACATTGCAAGTAGATGCGTCAACAGTTTCAAAACGTTTAAAAGCGTTAGGAATGATCCAAAAGCAAGGACATTGGGTGCCGTATGAGTTGAAGCCGAGAGACATTGAACGACGTTTTCTCATGTGTGAATTGCTGCTTCAACGGCATAAAAGAAAAGGTTTTCTGCACCGTATCATCACTGGAGATGAAAAGTGGATACACTACGATAATCCTAAGCGTAGAAAATCGTGGGGTAAGCCCGGCCATGCATCAACATCGTCGGCAAAGCCGAATATCCATGGTTCGAAACTTCTGCTCTGCATTTGGTGGGATCAGCAGGGCGTAATTTATTATGAGCTGCTTAAACCTAATGAAACTATCACGGGAGCTCGCTATCGACTTCAGATGATGCGTTTGAGTCGAGCTCTAAAAGAAAAGCGGCCACTATACGGGCAGAGACACGACAAAGTCATTTTGTTACATAACAATGCTCGGCCACATGTGGCAAAACCAGTCAAAACTTACCTGGAAACGCTTCAATGGGAAGTTCTACCTCACCCGCCGTATTCACCGGACATAGCCCCCTCGGATTACCACTTGTTTCGGTCGATGGCGCATGGTTTGAGCGAGCAGCGCTTCCATTCTTTCGAAGAAACCGAAAAATGGGTCGATTCATGGATTGCGTCAAAAGATGAATCGTTTTTTCGACGGGGGATTCAATTACTGCCAGAAAGATGGGAGAAAGTGGTCTCTAATGATGGACAATACTTTGAGTAAAGTTATTGTAAGCCTTATATTTTAAATTAATGTTTTTTTTAACAAAAAAAAACAGCGAGAACTTATTCAAGGTCCTAATAGTTCTTGTAAAAATATGTTTTTTATTTCGTCATGAATGTCACGGGTAACTCCATATTTATTGTACAGTGATAAATTTATTATAATAAATATTTATTTACAATATTGTTTAGCTTTTAACATTTTTTTTTCACGCAAAGTGCAATAATCTTATTTAGTGTCTTCTCCTGAACTACGCGTTTATATTTTCGGGTCGATAAAATTGCACAAGTATTATTAAATAAGTAGTAATGACACCGACAAACTGAAAAAAGAAAACTTGTTGCAATTTACTGTTGCTTTGATAAATTATTAATATTGCGATGTAAAAGAAGGAACTGAGTTATTCCATATAAATCACAATATAATCAATAAGAATTGTTATACTTACATTTTTGAACAAAGCGTTGTTTATTTCGAAAAAATTACAGGCAGTAAATGCTACCCGATGCTGTTGAAGTTGAATTGAAAAATCATTGATCTCGTTTCTGACGCAATCTCTGTCCAAGTTTTTACGCAAAAGATTTTCCATGACGACGTAGTTTAGATTGAAACTGCTACTCCGATTAGAATTTTGTTCGCCATCTGGGGCTTCCAATGGTGGTACTTCTATACTCAATTGATTCTTCGTACTTAATTTATCAAGATTCGTAGGTTTACAATTTAATACTATTGCGTATATAATTATTCCGGTATAGTCGGATTTTTGGCGCGCGAGCGTGCAAGTATAACACATTAGGCCGAATTGCGCAGTGTATAAAATCCAAAGAATATTATTTATCAGCATAAACCCGTAGTTTTTTTCTACAACGCCCATGTAGATTCTAAATAGCGTAGCCACAACCATAGTGAAGCAATTTGCCGAGCAAAGGAGAAGTTGAAAGCCGTAAATATCATTTACCATGATAACCAGATCGCAAATTCCTACATAATAAAAATTGTAATTAAATATTGTGATTTTTTTTATAAATCGCGTATATCAAGAATTGTATTATATGTATAATAAATAGAGTATCTCAGAGACCAATCATTTCACCTCTCAATAGCAGATGATTCCTGAGGTTATTTAGAGACAAAAATCTATACAAAAATGTTGAGGCTACTGTAATTTTTAAATGCGTAGTGTTTAAAGTTGACAATCTAATTAACTTTAAATATTTTCCATTCAAAAACTATTATAGCCTCGACATTTTGGTAAAGATTTTCGTCTACAAATGACCTCAAGAATCAACTATTAATAGTGATATGGTTAGTCTGTGACATCCTGTATATTATACATACATACAGTACAATTCTTCTGCAATTTATAAAACGATAATATTTAATTACAATTTTATATAATTTTATATTATTAATTATACCATATATAACTTCTGTTTTTTACAAGTAGATAAGTAATTACTACAGCAGCAAAAATTATTTATAACTAATTATCAATTCAACATTTATACAGAGCCGAAAATTAAAACTATTTTGTTAAATAGTTTTACTTACCAGTGTGCAATTCTCTGATACGTCTAATTTTGAGTGCGATCCATGGTGCACCGAATCGTTCATCTAACTCTTCAATTAATTTATTTATTGTTCGAAATCGATGATATAGCACATAGACGATGACGTTGAAGACAAAGCTGTTGATCAAGGATTGAGCTATTGTATAGTAAAGTAGCAAGTCGGATGCAAAGATATCTTCGGGGCGTGTGAAGTAGTAATATAGGGCGTGTACGATCAGAGATAAAGGGCCGCAAGCGAGTACCGCGAAAATAGCCAGCATCTCGACGATTTTTACGGGCTGATCAGTCATGGGCGTTTCTCGCCTGATTTTCTGATCGAGATTTCTCATTTTGTCCATTAGCTCCGGCCACTTGTCGTACTGTTTGATACCGTGAAAGACATAGTAGTATGCTGACACGTAACACACTACCTTGTTCATGTAGTACATAATTTTAAATATGTCACTCTTGAAGACACTACCAAAGGTGAAAAAATCTATGGCACCGTACGTCACGATAACGGAACATACTGCAAAATGTACGACACGTAGGATTATCGTAACAGCTTTGTGACATTTTCGCGGGCGTGCAATACCGACACCCAGAAGCCAGGAAACGTATGTTATTGGACATAAAATGTGCTCTATTGAGGGCAAATTGTCCTCCACTTGAATGTGAATTTCTTCCATCTTTGCTTACAATTTTTTTATTAATTGATATGATGTTTATAAGCAAATATGAGTCTGAATGATTAAATCGAAGCTGTTTGTAATGTAGAATACACTTTGAAAACAATGTGGCCAAGTAAAGTAGTTCGAAGTTCTTCGAGAAGTAACGCAAAACACTCTGACAAACAGGGTATGCTCTCATATTCATAAAATTATTAGTATATTATCGCTGTGACATCAACGAAGTTCAGATTACGTCAGCAATTAAGCCTCTCATAAACGTAATGCGGTTTTAGTAAATTAAATTGAGGAACACACTACGAATATAATTAATAATGCACAAAGTTTTGAGTAATGGAAATTTTGTGTTAATTTTGAGAGATATATATGCTTTCTGTTTAAAAACAATAGTTTATAATATTTATTATGAAAAATAACAATATAACAGTATATTTAACAGTGCATAATAAAATAATGTAGCAGCTAAAATGACAAAAATATATCTAATAAAGTAAAAACATAAAAATATTAATACAGCGAAATAATCACAAAATATTTTATTACTAATACAACTTTCTGGAGACTTCTATGAAGTATTTTTGAAAATATGTATCATAAAAATAATTCTAGAAGCTAGAATTTATAAAAATTTTTTGGGTTTTAAGTTGTCATCGAGTCTCAGCTGCCGATATGGTGACTTTTAAGGATCAAAATTAACTTTTGTCGTTAATATTTTGCTTATGATAGAAAACTTGTATTTAGTTGCAATTTTCTTTTTTTCAAGAAGACGTCTTTCCCTTATCGTCGTTAAATAATATCTCTCAATTTATTAACTGTCGATTACGTGCAAGCGCGATAAGTGTTTATACTACATCATTCAACCAACTAAAAGCTCAACTATGCAACATAAGAAAAAATAATCACATCTACATATATGTATACGCTTATATCGAAAAACGAGCTTTATTTGGCCCAACGACTATATTACAATCTTATGATACAGTAAACATTTAAAATTGGAATAAAACGATAACGTTGTACATCGACTTTTATAAATCAGGCGGCAATATTTGAGTATTGAGTGTTTCGGGGGAATGCGGGCTTTTTTTTTCTTTGTGTATGATATTATATAATTAGAGCTGTGACAAACGCTGTGATAAGCGCACGAGAATCAGCGACTTCGACTTGATCCAAGATTTTAATCGTGCAATACGATATGGAATTATTCGATGTTTCGCGCATCATGAAAACATTTAATAAATTATAAACATTTCAGAAAGTACGTATTTTTATGTAAACATGTTTCAACTTAAATTCTACATGATTATTATGTAATATATTTTTATATTCTGAAATGCTACGCTCTACATCAGAACGTGTAACTGATGTAAATATACATACATATAATCTGTTTTAAGTGTGTAAAATTTTTGTTTTTAATATTTTCAAATTGGAATTTTCGATTTTAATTAACTAACATTTTACTGTTATCGAAAGCGATGTATCATTTACTTTATAAATTCTTGTTTTAAAGTTATTAAAATTTAATTAACGTTTGCGTCAGTTACTTTTTGTGACACAAACTTCATAATATAAAAACATATCAGATAATAATCGCAGATTGTTTCAGATCTGCAAATCTACGTTCATTGTTTTTATTTCGTACAAAAGACCACATAATTCCATGTCGTATTAACTTGATAAAACTTCTTGCACTCGATGAAATTTTTCAGTGTCTATCGATTTTCTATCTTTAACACGAAGCAATTTTCTAAAAAGAAAGTCTTTTTGTATACATACAGACGATACAAATGGGTATAGAAATAAAAATTATTAATATACAATAGGCACTGACAATAAGACGCGTAATTCCATGTCGTATTAATTTAATAATTTCTTTACTTCACTCTCTGGCTATCTTAGTAGCCTCTATCTATTGGCATGGAATCGTCTCTGTAATATTTTTATACAATGTAGGCAATGCATACTCTTAATTCTTACGCGATCACAATCTACTAGAATGATTTTGAGCGCAATATTTGCCTTCTGTGGTGTCGATTCTCGCGCACTTGCCGCGCGTCGTCGCCCTACACATATGCAGCTTTTATAAGTATAACATTCTGGACTTTAACGCTTTTTGTCCTTTTTTTAATTATTTACTCGAAAAAGGCAGCGTAAATTATCCGAACACGAGAATGTCGATATACGTTTTGTTATAATAGATTTAGGTATGTCTCTCTCTGTTTCCATAAACTTTTGTTGAGCGCGAGTATGTGATCGCGTCGTATAATAACTTGTTTTAATGATTTGTATTACTACGCTTTTACACTTTACGCCAATTTATATATAGCGACCAAATATTATATTTCAAAATATTATTACATTTTGAAGGCGTTCGTGCTTCGTGATCACGGGATGCTTTCGAAACGTATTATGACTGATTATGTCAACTCTAATGATTAATGCTTGCAATTATAGAATACTCATTAGAGGCAAACAGAAAAGATTTTGCAGTTTTCTCAAGTCATCATCTTTCAATTTTTGCGCATGATGAAAAATTTTCAATGTAGAATTTGTACACGGAAATTCTCCTTATCATTTTAATCTAAAAATACAATATATAACATTATATAAAAATGTAAACTAGCATTCAAATTCAATTAGCATTTAAATAACAATACGGAGATAGAAATTTCTCAAATAATGTTAGTTTGCGTAACAATCGATAAAGAGCATGTATTATCGGTACTAAAAAAAGATACAATTATTTAATCTCAATAAATATATACTATAATATATCGTAACATATCTACCACATATATATTTTGCCGTTATTGAAGATATAAACAAAAATTCGTATGCATCGTATTGTGTGTGCACAGTTGACGAATACGTAAGTTACTCTTCTTTTAATCGTAATGAAAAACAAGTTAACGAAAAGTGAGAGAAGAACCTTCGCTCGATATTGCACGTCAGCCCATTTTAGAAAGCGAAGTGACAGTATTACAATAACAACAATGTATAACTGGCTCTTACATGCGCATTATCATTTGTTAAGATAGTCTCCCAACAGGAAATTATCTTTCGACTTTTATCGCTTATACAGGGATAGAAGTATATTTAGCCTCGAACCGCTCGAGATTGTCCTTTTCCAATAGCTTCTCCGTCAAACGATAATTTTTCAATTAAAAGTTTAATGTGACGTGATTCTTGTTCGGCCGAAACGGAATGCTTTGCGATCTATTGATATGTAGCCACTCTGAACAATTTTACGAGCTTATGTGTGCGAATTTCATGTAACTCTACTCAAACAATCGTATGATCACACGCAATGACTGAACAAATATATAAACATCAAAACGATTTCTAGTTCAATCAAACTTTTTAAATAATAATATAATTCATCTTGATAAACTTGCATAATCGTTATTGTACATACTCGGGATCTCAAACATGATTATATTTATATCTCGTGAGAATTATAAGGAATTTTGCGATATATCTTTTATAATGATGTTTCTAAGCGAGTCAATGCTTTTATCAGATGGTTTCCGATATGCAATACAGTGACACTTTTTTTATATGTAAATTATAATTTTAATCGAAACAACTGATTAAATTCTTGTTGTCAGTTGATGTAATTTATTTTTCATATATTTGATATCTATAAACAGTCTTTACTGAATGTCGAGTGGAATCGCAAATTTGCATAATTAAAAATTCTTTAATTTCAAAGAAACTTTTAATTATTCAATGAATCTACAATTTCTATATTGTTTGAAAAAATTCGTTTTATATTTTTCGAAATCACTCTACAGTTAAACGTAAGTTCAGTTCCAATGATTTCAAAGCATTGATACGCTAGCTTTTATTCTCATTTTCTGTGTAATTCGGAATATTCTGCTATCGATTTCGATTTCCTTGTGTAGCGTATTAAGTACCTAAGCGCACTTTTCTCACATTCATTGTCAAACATAATTATTAACATTTCCAATATCTTTGTCTTAAGATATTCAAAAGGAATCATCATTCATTGCATTGATTGCTTTGCTTAATTGTCTCGTTAACCCTTGCTCTTTTTGGAATGTCCAGCTGCATTCGTAAACACTTATCTGTCTGTGCAAGTATCAAGTAAAAATATGTTTTATTACATCGCCACATTCTAACTCGTTTAAGTACACTTGTGCCCAAGTACATTCATCCAGAAAGTGCCTTTGCGTTAATACTTCGTCCACATTACAAAGTCAGCTGTGAACTATCGATCACCGATATTGTGTCGCCTTGAAAAAAAAAAGGGAATTAATAATTCCACAATTATTGAGTTGCACGTTAAATATATACACCAATCTTTTATCGACTATGTTATTCAGAGTGCTTATACGTCGCAAATTATGGCACTTTAAATTAAAGTAACAAATATATAATTCTAAAGATGCACACTTTTTCTCTTAAGATTAGAAATAAAAAGATAGAGGAAGATCAGAAATAAAGATAGAGGTATAAATCGCGATGTTTCGTACAATTGTTGTTTAGGATAAAAGTCTTTTTTTCGCACGGTTTGATTTCCCGTCGTAAAAAAGCTAACTTTTTAATGTAGACAGAATATGGATTAACTTATTTCCGATATTTGTGCATACACCTATTTTATTAGAGCTTCGTATCTCGTAGATGTGCTTCCGCACGTTTTATGTATGCATCTCCGTCGTGTTGGTTCTTGCAAATATAATAAAAAGGTCGTTAATAAATTTTGAGTCCATTTGCTTCGTCGTACTTGACGAAGACTACACTTGAAAAATGTCATCGGAAGTCCGAGGCGCAACGTTCGTGCCGAAGATGGATGTCGTTGGCTTTGCAATAGGCATAGTATCGCCTATTCGGGTTGCGGACGCGTTGGTAGTCGTTATCGCCGTTGTTAACGTCGTCGTCATCATCGTCGTCGTCGTCGTAGTCGTCGTAATCGGGATAGTCTCTGATCCGTCTGACGTCGTCGGTACCTGCTGCAAATGCAATTAGCTTTTGTTCAAAATTTTATACATAAAGTTCCTACTTTGCATTAGATTTTAGAATGTTCATAACTTAATAATTATTACAAAAATTCATATTTGAATAATGCTAAATTAAAGATATAGGTTTAAGCTTAAACTAAACTAAACATTTTAAGAAAGCACACAGCGATTTATTAATTCATTGGAAGGAAAAAGTCAATTAATCTGAATTCTGAAGTAAAAAACTCTATTTTGAATTTTATTTGCATTTCAATCTCACATTAGGTTTCTTACAATCAATGTTTAAATTGCTGTCCGTGTACTTTATTCCAAGCGCTTAGCAGATTTTATAGAAAAATTACGATAAAGTACGAATGTTAGAAGCAAAATGTGCATCTATCTTTATGAGCGGTATACTAATTTTATTTCAGGATTAAAATAGCCTTATAATCGTGTCATCGTAATAAACATCTTATACAATTAATGTTGAAACATATATAATGCCAGATCTAACTTAATAATACGAAAATTTCTTAGTGCGAATTAAATACTAGTGCAAACTAGGAGCTTTATCTTAATAATTGCGAAAAAATTAATTTTCTAATTTTCTTTATATCAATTATCAAAGTATTTCATCCTATTTTTAAGCATTCCATCAAATTCTATATGTATCAAATTTTATGGCTAATACAATAACGTTAGAATGAAATTTTTCTTTGTCATTTAATGACGCAACATTTGATGAAGTGTTGTAACTAAATTTGGCAATTAAATATTAAATGTAAGTTTTGCTAAAGTAAAGTTGCATTTATCTTCTAAGAGTCCAGCGTTAAATCATTATTGATGATTATTGATGATGACGGATGATGATAGATCTTGGAAAATATCCCAAGATAAATTGACTTTACCTCGTTGTAAAAGACTTCTTTTCCCTCTTCGACCGAAGGCAGCAACTCGTCCGTGGAATGGGGAGTCCTAGGGCTGGGCGTCGGTATCACCTGTTGCTGCTGTTGCTGCAATTGCTCTCGCTGCTTCGCCAGCCGAAGCTCCTGAAGCGCTTGGCGCTGCTCCTTCTCGTTCCTCTCCCTTTCGAGTCGACGCGCGCTATAACTACGGGACGAGGACGTCGAACTGTGAACCGATGCTAAGCTAGGACGGCGGGAACCTATGGAAAAAAGAATCACGTCGTAGAGATATGATAGATCTATTAAAAGTCCTTATTTTCTATGCTAAGAAAAGTACATATAATGTTGAAATGAAGAAATAATCTATATAATAATTTCTAAGCTGAGCTTTCTAAAGTTGTAAATTCTAACTGCGAAACTGTAATATGTATTCTTGCGATACCTTTATCGGCGCGATAAATATTCGATGAAGCGTTGAGAGTGGAAGCTTACGCAGTAATGTCGTGCTATAAATTGAATAAACAAGGATGTGAATGAATATACGATAATGGCAGTAAAAACAACGGCGAATTTTTATGGTAAACAGTGGCAATGGAGATAATATTAAAACTATTATGTCATATTTGTACATGTGTAATTAAATATTTGTCTGTTTCTTGGAAGTAAAAATATCGCAAAACATGCACTTTATTAAAAAATACTTCAGGATTCTATTGTAAAATATTTTTGACATGTATTGTGTATTCTGTGATGTAATTCTATGTGTAATGCTATTTGTAAAAGAATGATTCATGCATGATAAGCTGAGCTGAAGAGGCGAAAATAGCACATTATTAAAAACTGCAAAGATATCGTTTATAATTTTACAAGAGAGAAAACTTTGCACATTATAAAAATTATATTTCAGCAATTTAGAAAAACCAATTAAAATATTATTATAGCATATATATATTTTTAAATTTAACGGATAGGAATAGTGAAACGGCTGTAAGTACGCTCGGAATATTCGCGAAGTTTATCTGACAGGAGTGCATATTTTCTGGTGCATTCTATGACGATATAGACATACAGACATCTGAGGAGCAAGACTTTCGACGTAGGGTATAAGCTAGCAAAGCAAACTACTCTAAAAATTATCGTATACATTATTTTGGTGTGTATGTAAAGGGGTGCAGTTTCTGGCAAGAAAATTCAGGCTGTATGTTAAGCGATTAAATATTTGCTCGTTTATCATTATTCATGTACGTGTAAAAGCTTTCTCAGGTCCATAAAACTCAGCGAGAAACTGGCCCCGTATATCTTCACGCGGTCGTAAATATCTTTTATGCGTGTGTGTAAGTGTATGTGTGCAGCGAGCTAGCTAGTGCGTAAAGATTTCGTGTCTCTACGTCTTACCAGAAAACATTCGTTTGTGAACGAGCAACGAAATCGGCCGCTGCCATCTTGCTATCTCGTAACACACTTGTGCTGCGTTTTATCTTTGCAATCTCATATCTTTTTTGACAAATGCAGATCTACTCTCTATACGGGGCTTTCTTTTCGAGATGTATAGCACTACTCGTTTATTAATCGTTTTATCTGAAACGTAGCCAAGAAAGCACGCGTTTTTTCTTTCATTTGTGGAGGAAAGAACCTTATGAATCGCAGTAATCGTACATGTATGTATATGACTGATAACTGTAGGAAATGACGTGAGCAGAAAACAACAATTGTGTTACGATGATGTATCGTGACAACGACTGGCTCTTCATTTCTTCTAGAAATGTAAGAACGGCTAAAATGCAATTGATAACAATTACGAACAATTGTATCCAAAGCTGCAAGGTTGTCCTTTCACAATTAATAGTACGGCACACATTTTCGAACGACTATTAAATTTGTCCAGAGACAAAGTGAGCAAAACGTGTTATGGGCACACAGACGAAATTGCCGAAGGTCGGAATTTTGAGTGAAACGGCCTGAATGCGGACATGTAAAAAAACAGCTATCGACAACAGCCACGACCGTGTAAACAGCAACAGCGACAATGACACGATCCGGCATGAAGCATCGTTGCTACCATCGCATCGCGACCATCATTCGAATTATAATCAATCTTTCCTTTCGCGATTACCACCGTTGCCAGCACATGAAGCAAATTGCGTTGACGTAACACAGAGGAAATGTAAAAGACACATGGAGAAGTATGAAGAGAGAGAGAGAGAGAGAGAGAGAGAGAAGAGAGAGAGAGAGAGAAGAGAGAGAGATAGAGAGAGAAAGAGAAACAGATAGTCACACATAGCCACGACGCGCGAATCTGTCGCTGCCAGAACAACAACTTGTATGTGAGTGAGCACAGCGATAATGATGCTGAACAACACACATCTCCCAATGAGGCCGGGTCTATTCTCGTACCCTTTGTTTCACACGTACTCGAGCCGCATAATTGCAAATCGAACACCGTATTCGATATGATTGGATCGATAAGCAAACAAGGAAGATAGGTCGAATGTGAAGGAGGGCGAGAAGGAGAGGGCGAGAAGGAGAGGGCGAGAAGGAGAGGGCGAGGGGAAACTTCGGAAGGACGTGAGACACCCGGAGAGCGACAGAGAGGCAGAAAGAGAGATCCTTGATCGTTCTACCGAGGCCGTCGGATGATCCCTCGGCTACGTCACTAAGGGTACGTCGGTGCTTGTTGCCGCCTTTGGTCGCCTGCAGGTGACACGATATAAGCAAGATGGCTGCGGCCCGTGCCGCACCTGCTCTGGACGCTGGTACCAGGGGTCCGCGGCTGCCGCCGCTACTCGGCCTCCTGGTGAACGCGCAGCTGAGGGGCCCGGCGCTGCCGCTCCGCTCGCTCGATCGCGAGGACGGTCGTCCGTGCAGCGTCATCGGTATCCCTGCAAAATGATTTTCGGGGGGGTTATTTCCGCGCATATGCACGCTATGCTAAATCATAAATCGTAGTCACTTCTCTCACATGACAGTCACGACTTTAACACTTGTGCCTGTGATGAATGCATCGGTTGACCTTTTGGACAAAATATACCACAATTCGATGCCGTTCGGCCGAACGAGATATATTTGATTCCGTGTTCTGCGTTGAACACGATAACGTATTGACACGATTTAACTTTAACATTTCCCGATATAAAATGTTGTGAAAAAAAAAAAAAACATTAAAATTATATTACAAATATCATATTTTAAAACAAAAATAAATGTTGGGAAATGTGCAAACGTTGACGTTTCTTTTCGACGTAGAATACTCTAAAATTATCATGTCAGATAATTTCGTTCTTAATTACGAGAAGGTTATTTCCTTCGTATTTGAGATTATTTATTAAATGAGAAAGATATATAGTTTTATAATCTCTCGGTGCGGCGTTTTACATTTTCAAAAATTATTTTTTATGACCTTGCTGCATTTGGTTTCGGAGTATAGTTCGATGTATGACGTCGTGAGTAACGAAGTAAAACGAGAATAGATATTTTCGGAATATATGCATCTTATCGATATATAGATACCTATTATTGATTTCCTGGAAACGAAAGTAGGTTTTCTCCACGAAAAGAGAGAGTTTATTGTTGTAGAACAGGAGATTGAAGCTTTATACTTCCATAATGCAAACGTATAGTGAATGATGCAATTTTAGGAAAATTTATGAAAATGCATTTGTTGCTAAAAGTAACATATGTATTATAGATTATTAAATTTTAACATGTAAGACGATATTATTCTTGCAATGATGATTTATAGTTTCATAAACTGAATTTGATGCTGATCTTTTTTAACCAAAATGAGTATTTTTAATGTGAAGAGAAAGGTTGAGAAAATTATAACGCAAAACCCGATTATGAAGGCATGTTTATAAAAGCTTTTTAAATTAATAAAAATAGGTCGAGTACTGTCATGTATTAATTATAATATACATTAACTGTAAATTTCGGTTTTTTTTTACCAAAAGTGGACATAATATTATTTTTATGTGCATGTTTCCCACTTTAGTGGCAAGATTTATTAAAGAAAATTCACGGAAACAAGGTTGTTACTGGTACAATTAACATCTTCTCAGAGTAACGTTTTTCGGATTAGAATAATTTCTTTAATGTATGAGATCTCTCTTCCTGCAAAATTCGCGGGATTAATTGGTCATCACTTACCCGGATCACTAGAAAACAGCATGGGTGGCGTATGATTGGCGTTAGCGTAATGCCGCGACCTCAGAAGAGTTAGTTCAGCGCGGTTGAATAGTTTGAGCACGAAGCATATCATCGCCGTGAAGATAGCTATTCCTGATGCTATGCAGAGTAGGGTCGGGAGGTCCGTAGTTATCAGCACCTGATCTGTCGGGTGGGAGATTACGGCGAATTAAGGAGAAAGCGGCTCGATAACTCGTCACGATCGATATCGGAATAAATTTTCTCAAGGTTCGCTCGATATGTATAAAGTCGAAATTTATTTTAATGTTTGCAGTAATCAATCAGATATGTCAAAGCAAACGCTCCTTAATTTCGTACGACAAAATAAGCGACGGCGAATAATTTTAAGGGCTAAGAGATTTTTAATTGAATTGTAAACATTTAAAAAAAAAGAGATACAGCTCGAAGTATGTATTGAAAATAAACGGCGTACCTTCCGCGCAGAAAACCTTCTTATTAGGCCTAGACAGCGCAACCTTGTGGTATCCCTTCTCGCAATCACATACTGCGTTGTGCTGGACCTGCGTGCACGTCGAATGCTGATCCGCGAAAGTGCACGTCGCATGGTACAAGCACTGCTCTCCGAGTCTTTTGGCTAAAAGTAGGAATTGATTGCTTAGAACGGTCTTACTTATTGAAAAGCGTATCATTTATTCAACAGTGAGTTAATCGAAATTCTATCTGTTGAAATATATGATAGATTTAATCTTTCTTCGAACTGCTGACAGAATTTTGCTTTTTTCCAACTACCGGAAGTTTTATTGTTTAAATATGTAACGTTAATTGTTGGTTTATCGTTTCTAAATTTTTATTTTGTGTTTTTAGTTATAGTATCAAGCATTTTTTAAATATATTTTGATATTGCTAGTATAATACGTAATGTAGTTTCAGAGACACGTTGAGGATTTCACACTTTTGCATTTAACGCGAACAACGAACAAAGTCTTTTCACACCACGCGGATTTTCATTCAGGCCATTCAGAAGCGCGCGAACATTTATTTTCACTGACCGTTACCATGGAAGTTATGATATCGGAACGACCTACTTGTTAGGTGTGAGGGTTTCTAGTCCTTAGCGTTTACATACGTTTGGCACATCCCTTGGTAGGCCCGAGACGAACGGGATAGAACTTGTCGCACTCGCAGAGGCCAGTGATTGAATCACAGAATACGTGCTGTAGCTCGGAATTGCACACGAGGTCGCAAGGTGAGCCCAAGTACCGCCCTTTTTCTGCAAAAAGAATTACGCGAATATTAAAACTTCTATTTCAAATGTAAATGAAATTTTAATACACAGTGGATGAAATAAATAACCGCAGTTTTTAACCTACTATAAAAGAGAATAAAAATTACTAAGATAAAACTTTACATTTTTTAAGTTTTTGTCAGTAAAATTCAAAGTTTCAGGAGCATTTTAATATGTTTACAACTTTTTAGAGTATTATCTTATAGAATTTTCTTCATTAGATACAAGAATCAAGAATAATTTGTTTTACGATTAGTCTAACAAATTTCATACTTGAATAAATTTATTAAATTTATAAATGATTATTAATGAATGACTTTTATATAAAATATACGTTTTGTACTATAACAATTCATATCTTGAAATTATTATATAGAATTATTGTATAGTTTAACTATATATACTTACATACTATCGTACAGCTCGACTACTTGCACATTATCGTGTGATTTGACTACTTATATGTAGTATCGTACAGCTTACATATTCTACTTACATATTATCATACAGCTTGACTACTCGTAATACGATAAAGTATGGTCTTTGATGTCACATCAATAATTTAACTACAATTATAGTCAATATTATCGAGATATGACGCATCACGTTTAATTAATCCATTTGCATCATTCAGCAATTACCATTAATTGGCGTTGGGTTAGGTTTTGTGGTCAACTTGTTACGTATACGTGACGACACTAGAGCTTAAACTTTTTGATTACGATTTCTAACTCAATATAGTTTTTATATTTTATTTTTAAGCAGATAAAAGTAAAAAGATAAAATTAGTACGGAAAAAAGCATAAGTTTTAAATAGATCTTCTAGTTTGTATAGACTTCAAGTTGAGCATATTTTCTATAAGAATAACAATTTTTATTTTTATAATTCTTATAAAAATAAATCGTTTGTTCTTCTATATATTTATTATATATAAATAATTTAATTCGTTTTTGTACGGCTGGAAGCATTTAACATGTATTTCTATATTGACATTTATCAGTAGAAAAGTCAGAAGGATTAATAAAGGTTATACGTTTTCGATTGTTTGTAATGGCATTAAATTGTTGTATTTGCTGCACTATATTCTGCATTTCAATAATTTCATTCTAATAACGCCATCAAAATATGATATCGGAACATACACAATATTAAATTTTGCAATTTATTAATTTAATCGCGGAATTCAGGTGCTGGCAATACGCCAACTTATTTACTTTGAGTTCACCGCCAGACTATTGTAACTGTATTGTATTATATCCTCTGTTCGTTTCGCATTAGTAGGCCAAACGATAATTGCTAGCTCTCTTGGCAAGCTTTCAAACTACAATGTACGACAGCTACAGCTACAACATATGAGTAGTTATAAATTTTCTAATTAAACATTTCCCAAAACGAGGATTTGTTCTCCGCACGTTTAATTAAGTAAATGAATTTTCTCATTAATGCTGAGATGTAAGAAGTAATTTATTACAGAGATATCGCTAGATGTAACAAGCTGCTCAAGATTTCTTCGTGAATTCCTGAGTTTCTTTGTCCACTATTTGTTTTACGTTTTAATAATGTCAGAAATAATCTCTTATGTTTAATAATTCTTATATTTTTTAACGATACATATCTTAAATTAATCTTTTTTATTATCAACTGCGCGCTGCTTCTCAGACTACATTATTCGGCTCAACGCATAAATCGTATATTTAATGACAACGCAAGTCAAGATGATAAACGTTTCGCGTCATTTAACGACGCCATGCGGACGCGTATGCAAATGCGGAGATTTCAATATTACAGAACTCATTGTCTTGTGGATAATAGTGTCCGCGCGACATAGTTTACGTCAATTCGCGATAAGCGTGTAGTCCCCTCAGTTTTGAGTTCTACGGGTAGGAAATACGTAGCGCGCCAACTAGATTTCTATACCAGGCCATATTTAATTTCATACTGATTAGAGTTCGTTGCACGTACGCGTTACTTCTAGTTCGCGTGCACTTTATCGCACTCCCATCGAGCGAAAATTTAGATTAGCGTGATTTAGCGGAGAGTTCAACGCAAGTTTTTAACAGTAGTTGATAGATTTGCGTGTGTAATTTGATTAAGTATTTATAGTGAAGAAATTATGTTCGAGTTATTAAAATTATCTTGACTTATTTTCGTCAAGTATTAAATTATGCAAAATTTTGGCAAGTATGTCGAATGCGAAGAATATCTTTCTCTGATATCGCGCAAACGTACTTACATCGTCTGCTAAGTCACTGACATCGTATAATAGTTATAATATCATTTTTATTATAGTAATTTGGAAATTAAGCAACTTCAAAACGCTAATTAATTTGCATCTTTTATTTTTCTCTTCTATTTTTATATTATGGTTAACTAAGTGACTAAGAATGTTTTGCTCTTCATGCTAACTTGTTCCATCCGATTGCTTCTTTCTCATTGATGAGATACAGCATAAGTGAAAAAGCAAAAGAGATGTCAATAATGCAATTTTTATGTTAAATTTTATTCTCATTCTAAATTTAAAAAAAAAGAACGAATATAGGTAAAAGGCAGAGCAGGCTACAATCAACTCACACACGCTTGGAGAACAGAGCTTGCAGCATCCATTAAAATCAATACTGTCGTGCTTGGCGCGAAAATCAAGAAAAATGCATTTCCTTCTTGGTTAAACCGACGCGGACGCTAAAATCACTAAAGACATTTTTTATTTCTTTTGAAACAAAAAATAATATGTGTTTTAATATGAATATAAAATGAGAAAAGATAAATTTAATAAGAGCACACAAGAGAAATAAAAATTAAATTTATTAAATTTATTAAGAAAAAAGAAAACACAAATTGATAATAGCGATAACCACGAGAATAATGTCAAGAATTTGAATTTTAAATTAGATTTATATTACTTTAATAAATTATTTACTTAAATAATAATTTATTTTTAGAAGTAGAATCTTTTATGATTCTACATCTTTTATGATTCATAATAATTGACTTGAATAATTATCACATTTACTTTTTGGAAAATATATTTTTGTTAGTTTTAATAATTTAGAAAAATATTTAAAAAAGCCGTATTTTGTCCAAAATAATTGAAAAAATCAGATGTCACTCTTAATTTAAAATAACTTCTAATTTACTGCTTATTAAATTATAAAGTTATAATATTTAATGAAGAAATTTAATTGCGTTAGAGAATATATTTGGAAAAAATGAGAAAACTATGTGCTTTGGCGGATGAACATTCTCGAGAAAGTGTTTGTGCGATGTGGAGCAGGCGCGAACAAGGAGAATCTTGGGATACATCGTCTTCGATCGTTGTTCCATTACGTGATAATAGAACATTGTCGTATCCGAAATAAGCGTGTTTTCATTGCAAATTAAATTATTTTTTGTATTTTAACATTTGTTTTATTTGTATTTGTTTTCAAGTGTATCTTTATCCAGTTGTTGTTTAGTCTTTCTTGTTATATTTTATTTTCTCAAATTTTTGACAATTTTGTCGTGGTTTTATAGAATAAAAAGTGTAACAATAATTTAGCAGGCTTAGTTCATCTCTTAATAAAATGCGTGTTTTTCTCATTCAAAGGAATTTGTCCTGATTTTTAATATCAACGCCTTCTTTCGTTGTATGAGCTTTTCTATTAATATTTATTTGATAATTTAGCAAAACCGGTTTATAAAATTTTTTAAAAGATTTTAAATATTTAAAATATGAAAAATTTATTAGTTCTTTATATATTTTCTTTATTAATGTGTGCTACTCTTTTTAATTAGAAAGAAAAGAAAGAAAAAGAATATGATAAATATACTATAGAGATTCGGTTTGAAACAATCTTGGTGTCAATTACAATTTTATACATAAGTTACGAAAATTTATTTAAAAAAATATATATTTAACAAAAATTAAAGAATCATTTGTTATTCTATATATTTTCTATTTTGGAATAAATTATATAAGTGTATAAAATCAATATCAATAGAATCAAATAAGGATTTATTTTGGATAGACAGAGAAATTAGAAATCCTTATAAATTCTTTATTTTATATTGTAATATTGCAACTGCAATTTTTTTAACTACAACAACAACTAACATTTATTACTGAAATCTTTAACAGATACGACACAAATTTATATGTTTCTCAATATTTTTAGTAAGATATTGTAAATGAAAGTTTTATTTATATTTTTAATAAGTGTTTTATGTTAATATAAAGATAAAATATTTTGTTTTACGAATGTTAGAAGATCGTCGGGTGACAATAGCGATAACATTTAATTTTTTCACTGGTATAGTTGCGTGTCGACGCTTTTTCTCAAATTAAAAAGGAAAGATGATAATTTATTCGTCGACGATTTTTCCTCGGTAATTTTACACGATTCTATCTTCACTGATATCACCTAGGTAACGAATTATCATCACATTGCTACTATCGAGCCACCTTATGTAGGAGACAGCTACCGTATGTAGGTCCTTGGCTTCTCGGCGTTTCTTTAGTAGAACGTCTCGAGAATCATTGATTGACCGGTGACAGAGACTTCTTCGCGTTAGAAATTACAATCCCCACGTATCTGGTCTTTCAGCGATCCGAAAATAAAGTCTGATGAACGATTTCATCGAAGGTATATTCGAGATGATCTCTTTTGCTCTCAGTTCATCGAACTATTCAAAGCTTCGCCGTTGTAGAGTTTTTTTTTTTTTCAAGCGCTAACCACCGCTCAGTTATTTCCGATAAATATATATTTACTCTCCCGGCCATCGTATCGATGGCCGTAAGACTCACCCGCAGTAATATTTCTCTCGAACCAATCCTCGAGGTCGCCATCATCGTCGTCGTCGTAGACTTCGACGTCGTCGTCGAGATAGCTGGACCCGTGCACCGCTGCATCATCATCACTTCCTGGCCAGTTTCGGCGTATAACCTGCCGCGACGTGTTGCTGTTGCAGGGCGCGGGTATCAGGAAGACGATGAGGCAGATCAGCAGGAGCCAGCAGCAGCAGGTCAGTCTCAGGGCGGAGGGAAGTGCGCTCATCGCCCCCGCGGCGCGAGTCAACCCCCGAAACCGACCACCGACGGCGCATCGACATCCTTCCCCGTCGCCTGCTCTCCCCTCCCTCCCGCCCGTCCCCCCGGCGCACCCTCTCGCCTTCGATGCCCCAGAGAAGCGCCTCTTACGCCGCGTTCGTCGTACGTTGTCCCTGTGCGTGCGTCCGTATTCTTGTTGCGTGCGGATGCGAACGTAGACGCGAGGGATCCGCTTGCCACCCGCACGAGCGTACGCGAGCGCTCGACGGCGAGGCGCGTTCGCAGCCCCCGAAATTCACGCTCTTTTGCGAGGAGACGCGATTCCAGGACCGTTCGTAGCCGCGCCGTCTCGTTCACTGAACGAGTCCTCGCAGGGTGAGAGCGGCGCGATTGCAGCTGCGCGCGACCGCTACTCCGACGCCGGCGGGCATGCGGGCGAGCGGCCGTCGCGACGCCTCGCCTCGTCTCGTCTCGTCTCGTCTCTCCTGCGCTCGCTCGCCGTTGGGTCGAAGCGCGTCGATCGCGAGAGCAGGGTTAGTCACCGTAAGTCTCTCTCTCCGAAGAGCGGAGATGGCGAATGCATGTATGGTTTATTGAGTCGACAGGTCGCGCGGCGCGCCGCCAAATCCCACCGTCTCTTCCCTCGCGGAGATTTTCGTCACGACTTTCACAAGTCAGCACGTATCGAGAAATCTCTTCTCCCGTTTACGAGACGAATTCGCCGGCACGTATGAGCGTGTCGGTCCGTCGGGTGTTAAATTACGGCAGTTCGCCGTAATCGATTCGCGGTCGGGTGAAAATAAGGGGTAACGGAATCGGCACGCTTCTCCGCCTTCGGTTGAAGTTAGATTTTACCGCGGAATGACGTTTCGCTGCCTTATCGTTGGCGGACATCAGCAGTGGGTGCAACTAGGGCAGTAATTACAGTCTAAACGAGGTGATCGATATATTGTGGCCGTGCACACCGAAAACTCCCGACGATGTTTCATTACCATCGAGCAGTGTTAAGCAGTTTCGATTGCGCCATATATTAGACGATCTATTCACATGAAATCTATTTAGATCTCATGTTAACTGAATATATCGCGGAAGATTGTGTTTGCTCCTGCAATTCATGGAATTTATTTATATCACACTTGTTTTTATTAAATAATCCTTTTTATTTAATGTTTAATATTTTTCTATTTTTTTTTCTTAATATTTATTATTAAAACATTACAGAATGCAGTGAAAAATTCTACTAGATTTATGCGACAATATTATTACTAATGTCGTTATTTGACTAAATGACTTACTTATGTTTTAGAGAGAAAATATTTCACAAACAATAAAATATACTTTAATTTATATTGCTATAAAATTAATTCTTCATGACGATTCTTCCGTTAATATCTCTTTTAGAAATAGTCCGTATCTTCAGATATCAAAGATTCGCTAGCGATATACGCTGTCATAAAATGTAGGGATGTATCTATTAAAACAAATGTTTTATATTAATTATATCATATTGCAAAATATTAGTTATGGATAAATCTTTCACTCTCTTGTTATAGTGAAAAAGTGAAAAATAGATTTCTCGTTCAGTAACAAGTTGTAAGTTCTCTTATCGTTCTCATGAAGCAACTGTTTGTTATTTATTACGATTAGTATGAGAAGCCGGAAATGATGCATCTTTATTATCTTTTAAAAATTATTATAGGTTATTCCATTAAGACATTTTAGAAACTTACTCGCAACCAATTTGTTCTTCTGATGTCTGCGATATATTAAATATGTTATTGCTGCTAACAGACTTGTTACAATTAATACGGCGGCAACCATGAAAGGCCAAACTGTGACAGCATTATTCGTAGTATTGTAGTGAGATGCTTTGTAACAAGGAAAATCTAAAAAATAAAAAGAATAGAAGTGAAGTTAATAGATTTAAATATTGTTATTGTGTAGAATCTTTTTTTACGCTAATTTTATATTTTTTTAATAAATTTTTATGATAATTAGAAGCATTACTATTTGTAATATCTTTATGGAAATTTTTTTTTGAATAATATTTTTTGAGCAAAATTTTTATAATTATTTTTGCAAAAACTTATATTCCTGTTAATTTTTGTCTTTATTTTTACTTTTTCTGTTATCATTACTTTAGTTGTTAATATTAATATTAAATCTGAGTAAAAATTTTTTAAAGAAATTTTATTTTTTAACGTTATTAAATTTTATGTGAAAATGGAAAAAAATTTAATAAAATGGAAAATATAAGTTTTTCGCGGAAAAAAAAGAAAAATATGCAAATGCATAAGTATACCAAGTAAGCAGCCGACAATAGGATACTTTATATGAGCTTCATCAGAGTGTATTACTGATAATAAATAGCAGAGTGATTCGTTGTTAAGAGAGTTGTTGCACTGATAACAAAGCGGCGCGTTCTTGTGAGCTTGTATAATTGTGCTATTTGTGTCGTTACGTATTGTGATTCTGCAATTGCAAGCAAATTACGAAACTTATTAATTTATTCGAATTTTTTGTTATTAATTGCCAAACACTTTTCACAAGAAACGAAAAATTGACAAATTGATAATATTCACCTGTTGATATCGCTGTGATTGAAATCCATTGATATGGCGCACTTGGTCGGTTGATCGCAATCCAATCCCGTCCAACCGAAGTGACACTTACAGCTGTACTCGTCGTCGATAATGCATACACCGTGGCCGCTGCAGTTACGAGTACACGCGGGAATGCATTCGTCCGCAAAGCGATCTCCAGTGTTTTGTACAAAGTTGTCGTCGCAAACGCAATAATTCGGACCGATGCAGTCGCCGTTTTTACAGCCCTTTTCACAAACGGGTTCGCAGACGTGTTCATCTCGCAGCCGGTAACCAGCATTGCATACGCAATGATTCTGCACTGTGCACATGCCGTGAATGCACGCTAGGATGCAGGCAGGTATGCAATGACCGAACACGTTCTTTCTATATCCGTCCTTGCAAGTGCAAGAGCCGAATTTATTGCATATTTCATTACTTCCGCATCCTATTACATCGCAGGAAGATACATCGTTTTGCACACAAATGCGTGCTGTGTCATTATTAATTGAGAGAGAGCTGAAACCCGCATGACAGTCGCATACGTTCGGCGCGATGCACGTACCGTTGATGCAGTCAAAGTCGCAAATTGGCTGGCAGAGAGGTTGAAAGAAGTATTTTTGTATATCATCATCTTCTGAGATCTAGTTTATCGAAATAAATTCTTTGAAATTTTCCGATGATTAAAAAATTGCTTAGAAATATCGTGATAGTGCGCTATTGCTCGCTTTAGCAATGATCATGACTTGATAAACATATATGCAGCGAATAGCTACAAATTGAAGTATTTTTTATTAATTATAAATATTATCAGAATATTATTAGCGATCAATAACTGACTGAATTACACAAATGTTAATATAAAAAATATTTACGAAATTATTTCATTCCAATAAGAAAGAATTTCTTTTCGATGGAATGAAATTTTGCAAATTGCGTTGAATATTGGTAATTATTAATATCTACATTATTATTAATACATAAATTGTTCTATTATGTGTCTTTAGTACCCATGCATACTTACTCTTGTCGTACTTGAGATTGCAAAGGGAAGTTTATTCTTAAATATATCCGGATACGTTCTTATGGCCTCGATTGCAATAGCGGAGAAGCGATATCCCTCGACGCACGTACAGTTACTGTATAGATTATGCACTTTGCATGCATTCTTCATCTGCCTTTTTTTATCCGTGACAATTTCCCGTGTCGACCAGTCGCACTGCACCTCGCAATTCGACTGGCACCTCGGATCCGTCTGATTGTTATAAGTGAAGCCCTCGTCGCAAGTGCATACTTCTGGCGCTGTGCACGTGCCATTGCCGCAGTCCACTTTGCATACCGGTTCGCAGATGTATTTTGAGTACCCCAGTGGCCTGTATCCCTCGAAGCAGCTACAGCTTTCGGGAGCCACGCAGGTGCTGTTTACACAGGGCTCGCTGCAGACCGGCTCGCAGACGGTCGCGTTCGCTGCTCTGTAACCGTCGTGACAAGCGCAAATTCCCGGCGCCGTACAATTGCCGTGAACGCAAGTGTCTTCGCATTTGGGCTTGCAGATAAAGTTCGAGCCGAATTCGTCGCGTTCGTAACCGTCCACGCATCTACAGACATTAGGTGCTACGCAATAGCTATTCGTACACGCGGGTGCGCAGATAGGTTCGCAGGCGAACGGCGAAGAATCGTTCCCCGCTCTCCTGTAACCGGAAACACAAGAGCAGACATTCGGTTCCGGGCAGTATCCGTGGTTTTGTTCGCATTCGTCGTTGCAAAGGGGACGGCAGGTGAATCCGTTGGAATCCATCCAGTGGTTCTCGTTGCAATAGCAAACGTCAGGCTCGACGCACACGCCGTTGATGCAACCCTGCGTGCACACCGGCACGCATGATTTTTTATCGTTTGTGTCGTTCGACATGCGATATCCTTCATCGCAGATGCACACATTTGGCTCTACGCAAGTCCCCCCCTTTCCGCAGGATTGCGCACAATGCGGTATACATTTCGTGCCGATTTTAACGTAGCCTTCGCAGCATACTTTTTCTTGGGCCTGTACAGGGGTATACTGAAAATATAATTAACGAGTGAATCGCATTTGTAGAAAATACATTTTTAATAGATATATATATGAGGCACGATAAAATAAAATTTAATATTTTATTTATTCTTGAGATTTTTTTTATACATTGATTAACTATTGCTATTATTTTTATTGATGCGCTTCTTCTTGCAGAGTAATAATATTAGATTAACACATTTATTTGAAGATAACTTTAAATATATTGTGCAAGAAAGTTCAATATCTATCACAAATAACATTTAGTAGTTTTTTTTTCCAATTTTCTGTCAGTTTGATATTTGATTTATGATAGATAGCTTCAAGTAATATAATTTTTTAAAAATTTACTAGTGTTAACAGTAAGCAGGAGAACATTGTGGGTATTTAAGCAAAAATAATGATCTTTTTTACTTTTATCTCTTACACCTTTTGCTAATATTATTGTGAAATATTAATTAAGTTTGATTACCATTAATCTGTAATTCCTGCGAGTCACAATCTGATATCTGTTATTGTTATCGTCCCATTTTGACCTCCGGAAAATATCCTTATACGTTTCCGTATAAGGAACATATATTAACTTACGACTGCAATAAAATTATTAGTTAATTAAATGATATAAGTAAGCAAATACAATTTATAAAATATTTAGAAAATTATTTTAAATAGTTTTAGAAATAAACGTAATACGTGAAGCATGATTTTCAACACGCAGAATGTTATAACAAATATAATAAACAGATGTAACAGTACCTGACTGTCTTATTGCAGAGATGCATTGATGAAGGATCAATAGTATTAGTGGATTTTATTCTTGAAGCCAAAATGTTTGTCAACATGCTTATTTCCAAAAGTAATATGTTGATAATTAAAGTAACAATCAAATTATTAGGTAACTCCATAATTTGTTCCTTCTATTCTGAAGTTGACATAAGCTCTGTAATGTTTAGACTGACCGGTTGTCGTGATTTGTACTCATACACTATCATATTTATCTCTTTATGCATTCTTTATTAAAACAGGATGCGGCGTAATCAGAGAGTTACCGAAAGCTTGCATATGTGTTTGTGGTGTTAAAGTCCATTTAAAAGTATCGATATCATTTGTATAATACTATTTTCAAGATAATTCTGCAAAATTGCACATTTTATTTATTTAAAAGTATTTGATTCTAAAAGAATCAAAACCAAGTTTTACATGTAGTGATTGTTAAACATTTGTGTGCACAAAGAGTTTTATTTTATTTTAATCATTGGTATAAAATGAAAATATATGATATAGGATGAGAAGTGTCTTTTTTGTATTTGTATCAATCGAATAATTTTTACAATGTTTTTAATTAACTGTTATAAAAAATAAAATTTTTCGAATATTTTTTTTTTAATGATTATTTCAGTTATTATGTGAATTGTTATTTCTTTTAAAAAAGATAAAAAAGTTAAAAAAAATAGCAGAGTAAATATTTTTTTATTATATATGCAGTATATTTACAATGTTAAATTTATAGATGCAGACTTTTTCGGCATGTAAAAGAAATAGAAATTTTGGACATTTAAATTTTTAATATAGTTTATTGTAGATATCACAATGAATATACGTTTGTTAATTTTTATTAGCAATTATATAACAAAGTTAATAATTCTAATTATTTTTTTCTTTAAATCTGTTATTATAATTATTGCAGAAAGTTCGAAAATTATATACTAAAATTTTGCAGTAATTTTTATATTAATAATTACAATATTATTAATTCATTCTGTTGCATTAGTTCTAGCATTGATTGATTCAGTCTGTGCTCTGCCTGCACATTACCTGTTAATAAAAGGAATTCATTAATTGGTTCTTTTATTTATATATATTTAAAAGTTTTTGTAAGATTCTTTCAAAATATTTGGGAAAAAATTCAAGTTATAAACTTAACACAACAGGAAATCTCTATTATTTAACCAATATAATTTAAAAAGTATGTAAAGAAACTTTTTATGTATGTTAATTTATATAAACCTAATTTTATATATTTCTGGTTAACAATTATTATTTAAAAATTCATTCTCTCTTTAAGAAATATTTTTATAACTTATACTTTGTTTTTCTTGGATTTTATATGTACAATTAAAAACATTGTAATTGCAAAAATATTTTTACAACAAATTATTATTAGATAACATAATAATATTTGATAATACAATACCTAAGTTCGTCCGTCTATTTTGACGTTTTTGTAGTATCATATATGTTGCTATTGCTGCACAGATTAACAGTAATATTACAGAACCACCTGTAATTCCACTTATTTTGAGAATTTTTCTCCACTTAAATTTATATTGACTTCTTAATGCGAAGCATTCTACTGTAAAGAAGTGACAAGTTTTTATTATTCTTCTTGAAAATGTTGGCAAAGACTTTAATGTTGATGATAAGGCACACATTATTGAACAATCTATATAGAATCATTCTACGAAATTATCAAAAAATTTTAAGCTGACAGAATTGCGAAGGAGTAATTTTGATTTTATACAAAGTATTACAGGGTGTTCAATGGGAAGTTGCTGACACTAATTAGTTCCAATTTTTAAACGCATATAGGGAGCAAGAAAAATAAAAAACTAAAGACAATTGGAAATATTTTTATCATTAAATAAACGATTGCAAAAAAATGGCAAATTTTGGCCATTTTAATGATTTATATTTTTGAAGTGTGCACTATCAGAATTTAACAAAAAATTAAGTCATTTTTGGAAATCATAAAAAAATTTATGCAACAAAAATTACAGTTACAGTTATAGTTTCCGAAATCAACTTAATTTTTGTTATAATTCTGACGGTGCGCACTTTGAAAATATATCATTAGAATTAGCGATATTTAGCATTTTTAAATAAATGTTTATTTAATGATAAAAATATTGTCTTTAGTTTATATATAAATAAAACTGCAAAATGTCTTCTGTTAAAAGATATTTTCTTTTCTTGCTACTTATGTGCGTTTAAAAATGAGAGCTAGTTAGTTTCAGCAACTTCCCATGAGACACCCTGTATATAGCTATACTGCGGATATGTAATTACGATGAGAAAGACGTAGAAAGACGCAAATATAAAATTATATATTTTGATTTTAATCACTTTTAATGATTTATATCATTGTAATCAGAAAAATAAATTTCTAGAGAGACTTATATCTTTCGACTTTTAAATACAAAAATGTATCTTACGCGAATTTGTTTAACAAACCTTTGTCTATTAAACAACCAATTTGTGTTTTATCCTTCGTGCTGTTGATGTACATTTTAAAGCACGCAGTTTCGTTGTTTATTTCATTGATACATTCAGAACATGTTGGATTATTTATTAGAACATACTCAATCGTAGCATTCTGTTCTTTAATGATTGCTAATCTGAAACAAAAGAACAAATGATTCACAGTTGACTCATAGACGAATTATTATTTATATCATTGTGATATCAAAACTCTTTTCCAGCGTTCAGATTGTTGAGAGATCTTTATTCATCACAATAATCATCTATTAATGACACATTTATTTAACGATATTATTACATGCTAATGCGTGAATATATCTCGTTACTTTCTTACATTGTCATAATTATTATTATTTATGCATTAAAAAAAATATACATATATATATTTACATGGAATACAAATTTATAAAATACTGTATGTTCATATATATACTTACGGCTCTGTACGATTTTCGTCGTCACTCAAAGTTAAAACGCACAAAGTTGGTTGATCGCAATGCAGTCCGGACCATCCGTAATTACATTCGCACGTCATAAGTCTATCAATGCACTCGCCGTGACTGCCGCAACCACCTTGACACGCGTGCACGCAAACACCTTCAATTTGCACAAAACCAGCGTTACATCGGCACTGGTTGGGTGCCACGCAATCGCCGTTATCGCAACTTTCGCAATACGGCATGCATCTGCTTCCATTTCGCGATTTATTCTCGGAAGCGGATTGGTATTCCCAGATTTTAACATTCGAATCTTCAAGGATAAACCCGTCATTGCAATCGCAAACTTCCGGTGCGACGCACGTGCCATTGTCACATATTGAACAGATCGGCTCGCATGTGCCCGTTTTTGCGTTTTGATAACCGTCGGAGCACGTACAGATATCTGGCGCCGTGCATGTGCCATTGCCACATTCGATACTGCAGATTGGCTCGCATTGGAACGGAACGTTTTTCTCGTCGTAATATACCATACGATACCCATTCTTACAAACGCACAAATCGGGTGCCTCGCAGATTCCGTTTGTTTCGCAAGTTGAGTGACAAACAGGATCGCACACGTTTGTAGAGTGTGTTGATTGACGATAGCCCAGGTCGCAATTGCACACGTCAGGCTGGACACAGATACCGTTTTTGCAGCTCGGATTACAAATGGGCTCGCAGATGTTTGTATAGTTGCCATCGGTAGGTCGATAACCGAAATTACAAGTGCATTTGTCTGGCGCGCTGCAATGCCCGTTGATGCAATCAGTTTTGCAAAATGGGTCGCATATATTGTCGGAACTGGAATGTTTGTAACCCTCATTGCATGTACAAGTTTCGGGTGCACTACAGAAGCTGTTGACGCAATTATGGCTGCAGATCGGTTTGCAAACGGTAGGATTGTTATCTGATTTATCATAACCGATGTTGCAAGTGCACGTACTAGGGGCGCTGCAGAATGCATTAACACATGCTGTCAGGCAAATTGGTTTGCAGACCGAGTTATCAGCAAAATGTTTCATACTCTGAAAATTAATATTTTTTTATAAATGCGTATAATTAATAATAATATATAATATAATATATGACATTTTCTGAAATATTATTGCAAGTATTATCATGTATATTACTACAATTTACTATCATAAATATTTATTAATACGATTGCATTAAAAGCCAGCAATTGCTGAAGAAAGTAGAAATTTATATTTTAGTAATAGGAATTAGAAAACTTTGTAATTAATTTTTATCGAAATTCATACTTTTGACTCTAAAAAAAGCTTACGTCACGAATATGTTAAAAGTTTACTCGGTAAATAATAATTAGATTGTAGTTTGAAGTGCAGTCACATCTAATAATGAAAATGTTCCAATAATCTTATGAATCTAATAGATTAAGTCGAATCAGTTATTAACATTTTGCTCAGTCTGCGTCGTATTATCCAACTGATATCCTTCATAACAAGAGCAGACATTCGGCGCAGTGCATTTGCCAAAGGGTTCGCAAGAAGTTTCGCAGTGAGGCATACATAAGATGTGTTTCGGCCACTCGATTAAATGGAATTTATCGTTGCATGTGCATACGCCAGGTTTAGTGCATTTTCCGTTGATGCAAACTTTCTCGCAGACCGGCTCGCAGATGTATTTTGAGTTCCCAAGAAATGCGTAACCCTCGAAGCAGCTACAGATTTCAGGAGCGACACAGATGCCATTGACGCAAGCTTCGCTGCAAATTGGTTCGCATTCGTTTGTGCTTGTTAAGAAGTAGCCATTGTTGCAAGTACAATTATCGGGTTTAGAGCAATATGAATTTTTACTGCATGGTGGATTACAGATGGGGTCACAGGTGTATCCGTCGGTACTCAAAGAGTACCCATTGTCACATGTGCAAGTATTGGGTGCAGTACATTTGCCGTGCACGCAGGAGTTATCACACTTAGGGACACAGGCTGAATCACTAACTATATTACTTTGAAAAGTGTAGCCGGTATCACATGAACATATGTTTGGCTTAATACATTTACCCTTTCCGCAATTAGGTGCACAAATTGGATCACATCTGCTACGAGACATTTTGTATCCGTCGCAGCACATCTGTGTTATTAGATATACTGGGTAATACTAAGAACAAAAATCAATTTTTATATAGTAACAATATTTATATGCATAAAAAAATGCAGTTATACATATATTTAAAACATACAAATATAGAATGTTGTTTTTTTGCAATTGGTAACTGATCTAGTGTAAGATATTGATATATTTTATTGCAAACTGAAATAATCAATTTCTTCAAATTTAATCAGACACTATAATTTTAATATCATTACAACTATATCTCGATTTGAGATTCTATGAAAATAAATATCATTTGACAGTTCTAAAAGATAAGAGATACAATTTTGTGTTGTTGAAATTGTATTCGCCAAAGTCTTTTTTTTGCAATTGTCAATTGACATATTGACTTGCTCAATATATAGTTTAAATGGAAATCTTATATCTCGACATTTTTATTACGATAAGTTATTATTATTTTCTGAGAAAAAAGAGGAGAGGGAAATTTATTTTGTATCAAATATTTTGTATATGAATTACATTATCTTCCTTTGCCATAACATCTATAATGCGCGAGTCAAAATCTTACCTCGAGTCTGTAGTTTGTTCGAGTCTTGATTCTGAACCATTTTCTATATGTTTCTGAATACGAAACTAATCGGGATTTCTGATGACTGCAAGCAGTGCGCAACTTTAGCTCGTTTATATTTTGCTTTAATTATATTGTGTATAATTGATAGGCAATTTGCTATTCTGATTTGCGAAACATGACAATCTTACCTGGCTATTATACTACAATTCCCTACGTCCCAGGGCTGTACACTCATGCGATGCGCATCTCCCGAATTTCAATAATTAGCCCGTTTTGTAGAACCGCAAGAATTAATATAACATAAGAAAATTTCATGATTGCTAAATATATTAAATTATGTTTTTAAGGAGACGAATGACGAACGTGTGGACAGTTACAATCGCGTTACTCATTAAACTGAAGTCTCTTTTGCTTTTTATAGTGATGTAGCTCATTATCAGAATCTGGCAGGATGTCGATAAGCAACAGTAATAAAACGTGTAGAAATTTCCTATAATTTTATATATATATATGATAATAGTATATGATATATTTTATTAATTAAAAATGATAAATTTGTTAATAAAAAGTATTACATTGTTATTTTAAGCCAGTATACTAAATTAGTTATAAATTAGTTATAACTAATTTATTCCGCATTTGAAAGAAATGTCCAAAAACGTTAAGTTTATAAGAGTTTTCCGTTGAACAAAAAACGCGTTTTTTGTTTATTGCATCACATTGCGTAAATTATATTATGTGCAAGAAATCGTTATTGTAGGAATATTTTGGAAATTTGTTGAATTTATAATATTCACAATGCTTTAGCTGTTGGTCATATTTTTGAGAAATACACATTCTGCCGAGAAACTATGTAATTGTTTTATAACGCAAATGAATCGATTCCACATGTTTAACAGTGCATAAATGGAATGTACATTTCTTAAGCAAAACTTAGTTTAATTGAGTTGACGTACTGGGCCAAGGATGCAATCCGCACTGACCTGTATTTGCAATACAACGACATCGTTTATGTACAAAATAAACGGCAGTTACATTGCACGCGAGATTGCATTTTTATAATTAGTTCAATGATATTTTTACATATTCTTTTATAGCCACAAGTTTATGTAATGAATTTTATTTTTATGCGATTTATTTTATAATTAGTACACTTAATCACCGCTGGAGTTTTGCATATATCTGATACTTTATCTGCTCTAAAAAATTATATATTAATGTCTGCAATGTTATTTAAAAAAAAATATATATATATGCTTTGTTGCATTTCACGTACTCCGCGTTCTTTCTTTCCGCGAACAGAGAATATTGGATAAATATTTCAGATTAAGAGTAGTATCTCATTATACATCTCACTGATAGCAAAACTCGTCTGTCTAAACAAATTCCAAAAAAAAAAACAGAAAACAATTTTATCATCTTCGACACTTATCACATTCGAAACGAGAGCAAAATTCTAAAACATTCAAATCCCATTGATAATAACATCCATTTAGAATTAGTAGGTAAATCGTGACACCTCATTGATAATGACATCCGTTTAAAATTAATAGATAAGACGCTTCATTGATAATAACATCCGTTTGGAATTATTAGATAAATCTGTTACGACTTACGCCACTATCATATTTGACACAAACAGTCGGAGATTTAGTCTCCGATTCATTAAAAATCTTTACAACACTTGATATCAACCATCACCATCGAACATTCTAACTGTTCCGATTCCTATTCGCTGAATGCTTTCTATATTCCCTCCCATGTGTGAAAGAACATCTCTCAATTATGATTTTTCATTTGTCAACAACTTTCATTAACTCCCTCCACGACCGAACAATCTAACGATTTTCATTCGTTAAATCCTTTTGACTTCCCACCACGTAAAGTATCCTCACCATTCCAATTTGCTACATCTATTACAATCCGCCCCCTCCCCCCCCACGCTAGAATTTCCCCGACGATTCGAAACTTTAATTCGTTCCTCGCGTTAAGTTTCCAAAATCCTAAGAAACTCCCAAAAAATCCCCACCAGAGAATCAAGGGTATATAAAATCGGACTCTAACCGCGACAACACTCATGATCTCGCTTAATTATATTTTCAATTCCGTTGCGTTCTTACTCGTTTGTAACTCTGTACTTGATCTTTGCTCGCCAGTATTCATATTTATAGTTATTTTTATTCTTTCTCGGTGACCTACATTTGCAAAAATTTACATAGAAATAAAATTGTACGCGTTTATAAGAATTCCGCGTAATTTGCGGCGCAAAATTGCAAGTGCAACGCTTTTTTAACGGTACCGACGAACCCGAGCTGACCGCTTCGCCATCCGCTTCACTATCTGTTCTACTCCGTTCATTTACTCAAGAAACGAAGTTTTGGCCTCAGCGCTTGTTACTGTTTGTTCCACACAGAGTGTTTTTTTCATTACGCTGTTCCATACTGAAAAGCTAACTAACTTTTCTAGTCTTAATCTACGCTCATTCCATTTATTCAACAACTAGTAAGTAATAGACAATAGATAATTAATCTTATTGAATACATTCTTTATTTTCCCATCTCACTTTTTAATTGTCTCTCTCTCCCCTCTTACTACCCTCTTACTACCACAATTTAATCTTCTTCTACTTTTATTTCGGTTCGGATAAACACATAAGTTCCTTGAATTTAGTTTGGAATATTTTTATTTGATTACCTGACATTACTGTCTCATATGAAAAATAGAACGGTTATTGCTAACAGAGTAGATCGATCTTTCTGGTCATTGATTCGGTTCAGAATTAAACAAACTGTTCAGAGTTACAGCGTCAATCCTTTCGATAATCACCGTGAGACATGCGTGTTACAATCCATTCATATTTTATGTATCAAAACGTAACACTTATCGTTTGATACAATCTTTAATTATTATTATTATTTGTTTATATTGCGTAAAAGATACATGATTATACATTCAGACTTTTCGAGCATGTAAAAAAGGAACAGAAATTCTGGGCATTAAAATATTGTATTATAGTTATTATTTATTGTAGATATCAGAATAAATATACATTTGTTAATTTTAATTAACAATTGTATAATAAAGTTAATGACTCTAATTATATTTTTTTCTTTAAATCCATTATTATTATTATTGCACAAAGTTTGAAAATTATGTATTAAAATTTTATGGTAATTTTTATATTAAGAATTACTTTCACTCTGTTCAATTAGTTCTTGCATTGATGCGCCATGTCTGTGCTCTGTCTGTGCATTACCTGTTAATGAAAAGAATTCATTAATTGATTTTTTATTTATATACATTTAAAGTTTTGTGTGATTTTCTCAGAATATTTGGACAAAAGTTTAAGTTACTTATAAACACAATAACAGGAAATCTCTATTTATTGTAAGAAGATAATTTAAGAAGTATATAAATTTTTTATGCATGTTAATTTATTTAAATCTAATCTTATATATTTTTAGTTAACGATTATTGTTTAAGCACTCATTCTCTTTTTAAGAATTATTTTTGTAACTTATACTTTGTTCTTCTTGGATTTTAGATGTACAATTAAAAATATTTGTAATTTCGAAAATATTTTTACAATCAAATATTATTAGATAACATATATAATAGTATTTTATAATACGATACCTAAATTTATCTCTCTATTTTGACGTTTTCGTAGTATCACATATGTTGCTATTGCCATACAACATGACAGCAATATTATAGGACCACCTATGATTCCACTTACTTTGAGAATTTTTTTCCACTTAAATTTATATTGACTTCTTAATGCGAGGCATTTTACTGTAAGGAAGTGATAAGTTTTTATTATTTTTCTTGGGAATGTTGGCAAAGGCTTCAATGTTGATGATAAGGCACACATTATTGAACAATCTATACAGAATCATTGTTCTACAAAATTATTAAAAAATTTTAAGCTGAAAGAATTGCTAAGGGGTAATTTTATAGCTAACTGCGGATATGTAAATGTATTTACGATAAGAAAGACGCAAATATAAAATTATTGATTTCAATTTAATCACTTTTAATGATTTATATCATTATAATCAGAAAAATAAATTTCTAGACATATTTTTTGACTTTTAAATACAAAAATATATCTTACGTGAATTTGTTTAACAAACCTCTATCCATTAAACAACCAATTTGTGTTTCATCCTCCGTGCTGTTGATGTATATTTTAAAGCACGCAGTTTCGTTGTTTATTTCATTGATACATTCAGAACATGTTGGATTATTTATTAGAACATACTCAATCGTAGCATTCTGTTCCTCAATGATTGTTAATCTGAAAAGAATAAATGATTCACGGTTGACTCATAGATTTATTTTTTATATTATTGTGATATCAAAGCTCTTTTCCAGCGTTCTGCTTGTTGAGAGATCTTTATTTATCACAATAATCACCTCTTAATGACACATTTATTTAACTATTTTATTACACGCTAATGCGTGAATATATCTTGTTACTTTCTTACATTGTTATAGTTATTATTATTTATATATTTTTTTTTAATTTATAAAATACTGTATGTTTATATATATACTTACGGCTCTGTGCGATTTCCGTCGTCACTCAATGTTAAAACACATAAAGTTGGTTGATCGCAATGCAGTCCGGACCATCCGTAATTGCATTCGCACGCCATAAGTTTATCAATGCACTCGCCGTGGCTGCCGCAACCACCTTGACACGCGTGCACGCAGGCACCTTCTATTTGCACAAAACCAGCGTTACATCGGCACTCGTTGGGTGCCACGCAATCGCCGTTATCGCAACTTTCGCAATACGGCAAGCATCTGCTTCCGTTTTGCGGTTTATTCTCGGAAGCGGATTGATATTCCCAGATTTTAACATTCATATCTTCAAGGGAAAACCCGTCATTGCATTCGCAAACTTCCGGTGCAACGCACGTGCCATTGTCGCATATTGAACAGATCGGCTCGCATGTGCCCGTTTTTGCGTTTTGATAACCGTCGGAGCACGTACAGATATCTGGCGCCGTGCATGTGCCATTGCCACATTCGACACTGCAGATTGGCTCGCATTGAAACGGAATGTTTTCCTCGTCGTAATATACCATACGATACCCATTCTTGCAAACGCACAAATCGGGTGCCTCGCAGATTCCGTTTGTTTCGCAAGCTGAGTGACAAACAGGATCGCACACGTTTGTAAAGTGTGTCGATTGACGATAGCCCAGGTCGCAATTGCACACGTCGGGCTGGACACAGATACCGTTTTTGCAACTCGGATTACAAATGGGCTCGCAGATGTTCGTGTAGTTGCCATCAGTTGGTCGATAGCCGAAATTACAAGTGCATTTGTCTGGCGCGCTGCAATGCCCGTTGATGCAATCAGTTTTGCAAAATGGGTCGCATATGTTGTTGGAACTGGAATGTTTGTAGCCCTTATTACATGTACAAGTTTCGGGTGCACTACAGAAGCTGTTGACGCAATTATGGCTACAAATCGGTTCGCAAACGGTAGGATCGTTATCTGACTGATCATAATTGTCGTTGCAAGTGCACGTATTGGGAGCGCTGCAGAATGCATTCACACATGCTGTCAGGCAAATTGGTTTGCACACCGAGTTATCAGCAAAATCTTTCATACTCTGAAAATTAATATTTTTTTATAACTGCGTATAATTAATATAAATATATAATATAATATATGACATTTTTAAAAATATTACTGCAAGTATTATCATGTATATTGCTACAATTTACTATCATAAATATTTATTAATATGATTTCATTAAAAGCCAGCAATTGTTGAAGAAAGTAGAAATTTGTAGTTTAGTAATAGGAATTCAAAACTTTGTATTTAATTTTTATCGAAATTCATACTTCTGGCTCTCAAAAAAGCTTACATTAGGAATTTATGAAAATAAATAAGAGTTTCAACGGTGAATAATAATTAGATTGTAGTTTGAAGTGCAACAACATCTAACAATGAAAGCGTTCAAAATAATCTTGTGAATCTACTAGATTAAATCGACTCAATTATTAACGTTTTGCTCAGTCTGCGTCGTATTAGCCAACTGATATCCTTCGTAACAAGTGCAGACATTCGGTGCAGTGCATTTGCCAAAGGGTTCGCAAGAAGTTTCGCAGTAAGGCGTACAGATGTGTTTCGGCCATTCGTCGCCGATTAATCGGAATCCTTCGTTGCATGTGCATACGCTAGGTTCAGTGCATTTCCCATTGTGGCAAGCTTTCTCGCAGACCGGCTCGCAGATGTATTTTGAGTTCCCAAGAAATGCGTAACCCTCGAAGCAGCTACAGATTTCAGGAGCGACACAGATGCCATTGACGCAAGCTTCGCTGCAAATTGGTTCGCACTCGTTCGTGCTTGTTAAGAAGTAGCCATTGTTGCAAGTACAGTTATCGGGTTTAGAGCAATATGAATTTTCACTGCAAGGTGGATGACAGATGGGGTCACAGGTGTATTCGTCGGTACTCAAGGAGTATCCATTGTCACATGTGCAAGTATTGGGTGCAGTACATTTGCCGCGCACGCAAGAGTTATCGCACTTAGGGACACAGGCTGAATCACTAACTATATTTCTTTGAAAAGTGTAGCCGATATCACATAAGCATCTGTTTATTTCGATACATTTACCCTTTCCACAATGAGGCGTACAAATTGGCTCACATTTGTCACCAGAGATATTCATTTCATATCCGATGCAGCACCGATGCTGTATTACATGATATTCTGTGTGATACTAAGAACAAAAATTAGACTTTATATAATAACAATATTTATATGTGTGTAAAAAGATGAAGCTATACATATATTTAAAATATATAAATATGGAATGTTTTTTATAATAAGTAACTGGTCTAGTGTGAGATATTGATACGAGGGAGAGTCAGAAAATAATTTTAATATGGCAATAAAAAGGGACTGTAAATATTAAGGTTACTTTTTGACTCTCCCTTGTATATTTTATTTTGCAAACTGAAATAATCGTTTTCTTCAAACTTAATTGAACATCATAATTTTAGTGTCATCAAAACTATATCTCAAGTCGAGATTCTAGTAAAATAAATATCATCTGACAGTTCTAAAAAATGAGGTACAGAATTTTGTTGAAATTGTATTCGCCAAAGTCTTTCTTTTGCATTTATCAATTTGACATATTGACTTGCGTAATATGCAGTTGAAATGGAAATCCAACCTCGACATTCTTAGCACAATAAATTATTATTATTATTATTGTATTGAGAAAAAAAGGAAAGAGATACTTATTTTGTCAAATATTTTATGTATGAATTTTATGTCTTCATTACATTATCTTTATTTTCCGTAACAGCTATGTTGCGCGGGTCAAAATCTTACCTCGGTTCTATAATTTCTTCGAAACTTGGTTCTATAATAAAAGCCCCATGTTCGTTCTTGATATGTTTCTAAATACGAAACTAATCGGGATTGTGAAAAACTGCAAGCAGTGCGCAACTTTAGCTCGTTTATATTTTGCTTCAATTATATTGTGTATAATTAATAAGCAATTTGCTATTCTGATTTGCGAAACATGACAATCTTACCTGGCTATTATACTACAATTTCCTATGTCCCAGGTCGGTATACCTCTCATGCGGTATACATCTCCCAGAATTTCAATAATTAACCCGTTTCGTAGAACCGCAAGAATTAATATAACATGAGAAAACTTCATGATTGCTAAATATGTTAAATTATGTTTTTAAGGAGACGAATGACGAACGTGTGGACAGTTACAATCGCGTCACTCATTATACTGAGGGCTCTTTTCATTTTTATCGTGATGTAGCTCATTATCAGAATCCGGCAGGATGTTAACTGCCGGCATGCAATAATAATAAAATGTATAGAAATTTCCTATTTATTATATGTACAAGTATTTCATCAATTTAAATAACATTTACGTTATAAGTTGTTAATAAAAATTGTTACGTTGTTATTTTATGCCGGTTACTAATTTATTCCGCATTTGAAAGAAATGTTCAAAAATATTAAGTTTACAAGAGTTTTCCATTGAATAAAAAACGCGCTTTTTGTTCATTGCATCTAATTGCGTAAATTATATGCATGAAATCGTGTAATATATCGAAAATTTGTTGAATTTAAAATATTCATTTATAATATTCACAATGCTTTAGCTGTGTGTCATATTTTTGAGAAATACACATTCCGCCGAGAAATATGTAATTGTTTTATGACGTAAATGAATCGATTCCACATGTTTAACAGTGCATAAACGGAATGTGTAGTTTCTTAATGTTTATTTTTTTAACACCCTCGTCCGTCATTTCCTTTTGTTGAAGATTGCACGGGGTTCCTTCCGTGGTAAGTAAGATTACTATCTCGGATCAAAAAGGAACCATCGAGCGGGGTTATTGGAAACGAAATAAATCGACCTTTCTGGTCGTTGACTCGTTTCAGAGATAAATATCCGTTCGATCCTTTCGATTCTGACCTGTGAGACATGCGTGTCACAATCCATCCATATTTTACGAATCAGGACGTAACACTTATTGCTTGACACATTCTTCAAAAGACATTGTTATTTATCTATATTGCATAAAAGATATATGATAATTTTCTCATAATTTATTATCAATTTGTAGATACAACTTTTGATAATGTATTAATTATCTATCAAACTAAGAATTAATACGCTTTCAATATTCAACAATATTTATTCCTGCGGGACACACCTCGGCCGGCCACCTTTGACATGCGCCTTCCTATATCCGGGATTGCATATGCAATAATTCGGTAAGGTACATACGCCGTTCAAGCATCCACCCACGCACACCGGCACGCATTTGGTGCGCGTGACGTCATGCTCGTCGTACGTGTATCCGCTATTGCAGGTGCACTGATTCGGCCCGGTGCATTGGCCGTTCAGACACGGATGCTGACACGAGTTCGCGTCCGTGCCGTCTCCCTCGTGTCGGACGCACCTTCCGGTATCGGGATCGACGTGGAATCCGGGCTCGCAGGCGCACACGTTCGGTGCGATGCACCGACCGTTCGGGCCGCAGCCGTATCTGCACTGCGAGGACGTCGCGTTGTGGGACGTTATTGAAACGCATCTACCGGTGTCCGGTTCGATAGCGAATCCCGGTTGGCAGGTGCAGCGATTGGGTCCGACGCAGATGCCGTTCGGCCCGCAGCCGTACCTGCAGTCGTTGGATTGCGACGGGAAGCTCGGAATCGTCGGCACGCGGACACATCTACCGGTATCGGGATCCAAGGCGTATCCGTGCGCGCATCCTGTTCCATCCGGGTTGGAGGGAGGCCTCGGCGCCAGGATACATCTGCCGGTGTCGGGATCGACGGTGTATCCGTGTCCGCATTGCGATGAGCCCGGGATGGAGGGCCGCGGCGCCGGGATGCACCTACCGGTGTCGGGATCGATGTGCCCGTGTCCGCACTGTGACGAGCTCGGGACGCCAGTCGGGACGCATCTGCCGCTGTAACGGTCCCGCGTGTACCCGGGTCTGCAGCTACAAACACCGGGCGCGACGCACTGGCCATCGTCGCAACCGCTTGGACAATCCGGCGCGCAGCCTCTCGCGTGATCGCGCGTGAAACCAGGTCTGCATCTGCAAACGTTCGGCGAGACGCAGTCACCGCCGTTGCAGCCGCTCGGGCAGTGAGGAACGCAGGACTCGCGATCGCCGGGAGGGTTGATGTATCTGCGAAACAGCGTAATTGACGGTTACGCGTGTCATTATATTTACGACACATTTTTTTGCGTGTTTTATGTGATATTTAATTAGATACGAGAGTATCTTGGTAACAAAATTAAGGAGGCTTGGAAAGTTAGATAATTTAGCGGAGAAAATATTGTTGAGAAATAAAACGGCAATTGCGAAACATTCTGTATGATAGAAAGAATACTCGCTTATATATAAGAATCGTGAGTAATGTTTGTAAATTTATTATACGCAATGCTGACTGTCTACTATCTGTCCTCAAGCGCATAATATTATTTGCAAATATCCGCATAAAAGTTGCGAATTATGCGTCTCAAGTGTCGGGATAGATTTACACGCTATATAATTACTTTCAGCATGTGTGATGAATTCAGTTTGATACTGGTTTATCAATTATGCATACTGTATAGATATCCAGTTTTGCGAAACAGGTTATAAAAGTACATTAAAAGTAAAAGACGATGTTTAATCGCTCCGCGGAATGCCGTCGACGCGGGGAATATTGCGAAGCTGGTGGCGGTACTCGAAAGTAGGATATAACAGTTAATTACCCTTCGTGACAGGTGCATACACCCGGTCCGCTGCATTCACCGTGCGCGCAACCGCCCTCGCAAGCGGGTATGCACTCCCTGTATTCATTCAGAGTGTATCCGGATCTGCATCTGCAGACGCGCGGCGCCACGCACTCGCCGTTCCCGCATCCGTCGGGGCAGATCGGCTTGCACTGGCCGTTGATTTCGTCGTAGCCCAATTTGCACACGCATACCTCGGGCGTGAAGCAATAGGCGTTCTCCTGACACTGGTACGAGCAGACGGGCTTGCAGACGCCGTCCTCGGCGCGCCATCCCGACGGGCAGCTGCAAATGTTCGGCCCTGTGCAGCGACCCCCGAAACAGCCGAGATCGCAGTGCGGCTCGCACAGACCGCTTGTCACGTTGCGCTGGTAGCCATCGCAACAGTCCAGGATGGTGATCAAGCCATGCTCGTTGTGCTGATGAAAAATTATGCGAATTATTTCTATCTAATTTTTTAATTAATGTTGCATTATGTTAATTATTTCTGCCCACGAGATTTTGAAAAAGTCCAGGTGGAGTTTAAAAAAAATATTTTTTCAAAATGTAGATATTCACAAAGAGAAATCTTTCGCTTGAAAATCTCATCTCTCAAGAATCGTGGAAAATAGAGAAAAACTGTCAGAAGAAACTCGCGGCGCAAAGAAACAATTACGTACAGAGCTGCCTCCAGGCGGTTGAGGAATGGTATTGTACGGCGATCCGCTGGAGTTCAAAGCTAAAACATGGCTGTATCTAAAATAAGGGCAGATATTTCACATTTATTTTTATTTCTTATTTATATTAAATATAAAAAGATATAGCAAAAAATAGTCATACATTGTATTATCGCCAGAGTTATTGTATTTCGTCTCGAAACTAAACGTTTTGTTACTTACGGCACCGTTTTATAGCAAAGACCGCTTTGCGAAGTGTTGGTACCGACATGACTTCCGCTTGTAGGATAGCGTGGCCGATGTCCGCCCTTTACACCGTCCGTTGCCCAGACGCTGATGCACAGGCACGTAGAAAGGGTCAGGCAGATCAGTAATCTCTGCATGTTTCATGAACGGTTGCGAATTTACTACTGAGTGCTTATTTTTGGTCAGAGAGCGCACATCATGGCGATAAGAGTGTCGCAGGGGTCAATTTGTTGTCATTCTCCTGATTAAACTACGCAACATTCGTTCATGGAAATAGTTATCGGTTATGCGTATATTGATATGTCAAAGAGCTTTAAATGGGGCAAAAACATCCATGTGTCCATTTCTTTATCACTTTTATCTAATTACTGATTATGTCAGCGCTATTAACTAGACTATAATTGAGTCATCAGACGTGGATTTAATCGGGTCAAATATATTATTGATCGTATGCGTTCAAAGTGCACGGAAAATTTCGGCTTAACGGTATTATAAAAAAATAAGAAGCACAGAGAATTATTATCATATCAGCTATGAGAATTATTACAAGTTGTAAAAAATAATCTTTTTAATTACGTTTAAGATGCATGCACATTGCATTATCATACGAAATGCAACATTCAAGAAAGAATGATGTCATGCATGAAAACAAGAGATATTTATTTATCTTCTTTATCTCGACGAGTTTATCCGGAGGTAAGAGATAACTTGGTTTAATGATGAATACAATGTTTTAATTGGAAGATAAAAATATCTAAACTTAAAAAAATAATGATTACAGAGATGCGAATGATAATTTTGGAATAAATACTGCACCAAATTGTACATATATGAAAGGCGTGTGTTTTTGAGTACAGTTTATTAATTTAGATATCGCGTAATGCACTTATGTTATTTATTTAAATGCGGCTGATATCATTCGGGTATGAATGCGTGAGTGAATATGAAGAGTGATAAGGAGACGATGCAAGAATATGTTAAATGCGATAAGCATGTGACATTTGTTTATTGCCACAAGTTAAAGTTGACTGAAAATAATATTTCCTTGAAAACGATTCCGCAAACAAGTATGTATTCCGAAATGCAACTATGCATTATGGAAGTGCGTTACATTTAGCACTTAGAGAGATATATTACATTATCGCGTGACTTAGGAATGGAAAGTTTTTCCTTACTTCCACAAAATTATTGGAGCAGTCGTGGAAAATTTTTAATTAATCGACGATAATGTGGTTTAATATTAATTATTCAATTCCGTGATTTATAGTTATAAAAATATATGAGTTATGGAGTTACATTTTAATCATACTTTTTTTAGTAACTGATTATTCACAGGCTGGTAACACATGATAAGATAATTATAAAGCATTATATTGTATCTTCTTATAATTATTTAATGAACTTATACATATTTTAAATAATTTTTTAATATTATTCCTATCGCTAGAATTTCTCACACTTAACATATTAAGATTATATTTTTCTATAATATTACATCGATTTTAAATACGATCTTAATTCTTTGGTTTTATTTTCAGCGCACAAAAATTAAGCTTACTTCCTTTTGCGATGACGTACTTGTATCAATGATTAAATTATCGCTTTTATACATATCATTACTGTTTATTCGGAAGCGCAGAATATATTTATCGCAAAAATATGTTTTTACGTTTGAAAAAAATATTACTTTTTATGATTACCGCAAATTAAAAAAGATCACATTAATATTGCCAATTTGTGATATTACAATATTGTTAATATGTTATAAACGCGAATATTATTCCACAGGTAAACGCCGAATTCAGTTCGTAATTCCGTAACTCAACGAAATACAAAAAGATGTAAATGCGAAAAGATTGCTCGTAGTAGCTGAAACAATGACTAAGTAAACGACAAATTTTTTTTTTATTTACGAAACGTAATCCGTATTGAGTAAACCACTCCAATATCGAAATAAAATTGCTAGATTTGTCAGACGCTTATTTTCGCATCAATTTATTCGTAAGCAGGTAGCTCCGCGTCGGAGCTGTACCAAGCGTTTAGTGCTATTCGGATAATGATAGTCGGTGCGCTTGTTACACGGGACTCTATTATTTCGCGCTTTCCACATTGCGCATTCGTAATCAGATGCATTCCCGTTCGATTTGACGTCATCTCGTCGAAACTGCAAAATAGCCGATTCAGAAAGTTGCACGCTCCGCTGATTAAATTCTACCGTCGGTCACTGACAGTGCTCTGTTTAAAACGACTTGGTTTTCTACTTATTCCAGTCAATTATAGTTCATGTTCAGCCTTGCGCGTTCGATAGTCGTGCGTAAGGTCAGAAACCAGTCTTCGCGTATGTTTTATCGGGATTGACTTTTCATCATTTGTTTACAACAGTCTCGCGCGAAAACGCTTCGTTTGTTTTTATGATAATACTGCATTATTAACTACGGATAGATTTGACTACAAGTATAATGAATAGAGACGTTTCTTCATCACAGATCTTTGCGATTAGACGGTGGAGTGATTTGCAAGGGTATTTCGTCGTACAAGTGCTCCGTGTTATGGTCGAAGTTTGTCTGCAAACGTATCAGAGTCGCCGATGGTCGATCGTAATGGCCGTCTTGTAACAGATCTGCAATTCGCAGTGAAATATTTTTAAAAATATCGCCGACTTAATAAATATTTGCGAAATATTTCTCATTTCTTATTAAGCAAATCATCTCGATTGTCACAATTTGTGGATATTTTCATTAATTACTTTTATTAATTTTTATTTACTAGTCATTATATTCGAATCTACAGCAAATTTAACAAAAAGAGCGAAAACTTACCACGAAGATTGCCGGAAATTCGTAGGCCAATCGTAGCGGCGCCATTCGCGTAAGTATTCAGCGATTCGATGCCGTCGACCGTGAATATTGTCTCCGGTTCTGCATTGACGGTGAATACGGGACTCACGCAGACCGGAGGTGCTGAAGTAAAAGAATAAAAAAAAAATCAGCAGACGTAGCCAAATATGTACATTGACGTAAAAGAGCTATTAACAATTGTACAAAGGGCTCGATATCATACGATCAAACTTTAGCTTCGCTGGTTATGGCGGTCAAGACCGTCATCGAGGTACGTGGCTGAAAAGCATTCGGGTCAAGGACACAGATTTCACTAACTATCCAACACCGGGAGGAGAAAATTAGATTAACGTAATCCTCGAGACTTACTAGGCAAACTGGTGTTCACCACTGTGGACATCCTCTTGCCGTTCGCGCTTTCACGTTCTTGAGTCTTCGTCTTCTCTTGATCGTCGTAGACGGCAAGACGAACGGCGTCGAACAGCTTAGATCGCATGTGGAGAATCATGACCACCGCGAGCGAGGTCAGACCGAGAGAGACGATCGCAGCCACGACGATCAGAGCGATGTCCAATGGGATCGAAGTTGTTGTCTGAATATCGTCTGGCGTGGGAAAACGTTTTAGTCGCTGTATTCCGGCGGATGAGATTGCGGATTAACGCGAGGATATTTTCATGCATCTCTAAATATCTTGTGAATCTTGTTTCAGAATAATACCTTTATGAACGGTTTTTACATAATCGATATTTGGCACGATATTTTCGTCGCTTTGAACGTGTCTGAGGAGAGCGTCCTTCGTCGCGAACTTTTGCCTGTCCTTTTCGTCCCTCCTGTGTTCGGGAACGGAAACTACCACAATTACGGGTCGGGCGGTGGTGGATGAAACCCTTGCTCGCGTTTCGTTTATCGCTGCCCTTTGAGGAGGAATCGCGATTGTGTTCGTCGCTGGACTCGTCGTTTTAGGAATGTAAGTCGTCTCGTTCCAGCTGTTATTTATATCTGCGCGCAAAATTAAGTCAATGTAAAATGTCAGAATTTCTGTATCTTTTGATATTATTGATTATTTATATATCAGTTGTTGGATTATATTAAACCAAAACAAAACATTGAAAGTGTGAGAAACAAACGTTCCGCGCGCTGCTGATACGCGCAATGAAAAATATTTACTCTTTTCCCAACGCGAAAGGAGTTGTTTAATGCCAGCTCGAAGCAATTAGCAAATTTTTTTTCACGCGTATGAAACTGTCTCCGGTGTTCGAAAGCGTGGAGAATCATTTCTACATCTTTGAACAAACAGTTGCACAACTTGCACAAATATTTCATACTACTGAAATGTACTATTTCACCTTCTGTTTGGCGTGCGGTACTCTCGCGCGGTACAGTAGCTGTGGTTTCCGCATAACCAATTCTGACTGTTTGCACAGGTTCGGTAGTGGAGCCTGGCAAATAGGCGAGCGGCGTTTGTTGTTGGATTAAAGAGGCGTCATTGTCAGTGCATCTTCCGGTTACGGCATCGCAGTTATTATCCTGACTTTGACATGTGCATTCGTTTGCGCAGTCTGGGCCCCACCGGCCGATTGCGCAATGCTCCCTGCACCTGCGGGAAAAAAATTTTATTTTCACATTGTCGATTTAACATGCGGCTATCTTAAGCTGCTTGTTATTTTGTTCACGGCGATATTTTACGCTTACTGAGGTCCTTGCAGCCCCGCGGAGCAGCGACAGGCGCCATTTACAGGATCGCAATTGCCACTTTCTCCGCAACTGCATACCTCCATACATCGCAGACCCCAGAGTCCTGTTGGGCACTCTGCATAATAAAAGTCACATGTGAATTAAATGCCTTAATATTTCAAAGATACGATGCCCGACGCGTCGCGTTCTGTATTACGCAATCTTTTAAAGGCGATTACTCGCAGAATAATTGTGAGCCAAAAACTTTTGTGTATTTCGGCCTACGGAGTGAATACAATTTATTCTAACTGATGTAATTGATAGTTAAAGTCGAAAAAGTGATATAATCTCGATGTAAATACGGGCAATTAAACATTTCTTAATCGTGAGAAAGCAAATTTGTCGAAATGAATGTAGATTGTATCTGCAAAATGTATCTGTAAAGGCGCGAATAATTATCGTACACTATAATTGTCTCTTATAAAGCGACTGACGTCGCGATTGCGTTATGTGATGTCGGATGTTGTATCTGATCGACTCTTCGCCGCCCACGACCTTCTTGAACGTTCACGGGAAAGTAGCAGCTTCGTAACTTCCGGGCTTCCGCAACTTTCGAAGCGTTCCCCGATCACGTTGACGCAACAGTTGCGTGCAACCTGCGACTTCTACTTGTTTGATAACGATAAATTGTTTTATAATTTTATCATGCGTAATCTCATAAAAGACTGCAAAAAGGATAAGAAGATAATTTCGAGAAATTTAATTTAAATATTGCGAATAGTTGGTTCAAGATTAATTGTCTGAACATTAAAAAGTGCAAAAATTTCATCAACAACAATTAAAAATGGAAAAGTGAATATTCTTTTTTAAATTTTTTGTTTATTTTTTCGTCATTGTTTCGAAGCAACGGTGAATATTACGCTATTGCACAATAATGCGTAAGTTAACGCCAGTTTGAGCGTAAAATGTAATATGCGAAAATGATCCTGTTCATTGTTACGATTTTCGTGGAAATACTATCCACTGGAAATAGCCATTTCATATGTGCGTTCTTGCGATTGTGGAAGGTCGAACTGTTTCATGTAGCGTGAAATTTCATGCTGCGTTACGCAGCTACACCCATTTCGGATTTAATCGTTTCACAATAGGCGAGTGATGCATCATTTTTATTTTTGTATTCTAAATGCCATTCTTGGACTGAATTGTTTCGAAATTAAGAATAGCTTCGAAATTGGCGCGTAGGCAAGTTTATTAATTATGCAGACCTTCAAAGTTTTCTGAAGCTTTAATTCACACGACTTCGCATGCATATTTATAACTATTTGTGACCTTGGTTGACATGTATCTTTTTCTGAAATGTCATCGTGATTTATTAACTCCTAATTAGCATTGAAAATATCACATCTGCTTCGATAAATAAGCGATGGAAATATCATGAGTTGAAGAATTTCAATGACATTCTAAAATGTCTTTGTTGCATTTTTTAAAATTCTCGGATCGCTCTCATATTTATGTTCAAAGGGATGATTATAAGTAATAGACAACGTATATTATGTAGTTGTATACTTACAGTAATTGACTCTAAGTTTGATCAAGTTAAAACATATTCTATTATTTTTTAATTTTTCTAGGATTTATTATTTCAATATCAGAGAATGTGATAGTTCAACATTAATATTTATATAAAAATTGATTTTCATAAATAAAAAATATGGAAATTTTTAAATATATTTGACTTGTAAATATAAAAATTATAATGCAAAGAACAATTTGGCATTGACTCTCGAACCCATTAATCATTATATTTTAAAAATTATAAGTTTTTTTTCAATAAATAAAGATAAATATTTAATAAAATAGTTTTAAATATTATCAAAAGTTTTGATTTAAAAATTTTATGAAAATTAACTAAGATAATATTTTTTTTTTTTTTGACTTACCATGAGCACAGTCATTTCCATGATATCCGGGATTGCATTGGCATTCGTTTGGTGCGATACACACGCCTGCCAGACATTTTTCGCAAAATGGTAAACACGTCGCATTTGCATCCGCATTATCGTGAATCAGCATTTTATATCCTTTGCAACATTCCTGTACAGTTTTTGATTTTTCTTCCGTCTGTAATACATATATTTTGCGACGTAAAAATATTATAGATTTATATCTCAATGTACAAAATATTGTCATATTAAAAAATTTTCAATTTCAACAATCAAATTAAGGAAACAATCGCAATTATTAATAATTTTTTTATTTTAAATGTTGTTACTGTTATATAAATAATTAAACAATTTAAATGTTTGATATTTCCACATTATTAACAAAAACATATTTAATTATAATATATTACATTTCAATATAATATTTATAAATTACTGCAATATTATATTTCAATATATTTTGTTTTGTTATTTTTCGTTTCAAGAACGATTTCACCGACGGTTTCCAGTTTGAGAAATAATTCCGGAGATAAGATGATCGTTATTTCACTCTCTAAAGCATGAGATTCCGATCATTGGTGAGAGTAAAAGTGAGAACGCGCCGGTGTGGAATGCGGCGAGGGCACGCGATGAGAGATGAAGGGGGACCGACCATAGGGAACAAGATGAGGACATACGTGCGTGCGTAACGAGTTCCTCTGTGCAATATTAGATTAATCGATACAATGTGAACAAACAGTACACAAAAATAGAAATATGATATGTACGAACATAAATAGATAATGTTCAATTAATTAATTTTGTTTCAATTATTCATTGTGAGAGATATATATTTGTTCTTTTTTTAAGATTGTTATACATTTTAGATTTTATTATATTTATAATACATATATTTACCGTTTTAATATCTTTTATAAATTTACTTTTTATTATAACAGTTCCTAATAATTAACACAATTATTATTTTTTAAATATTTTATATGCATACATTATGAAACTTAACATTGAAAATTGAGTGTCAGAAACTCTAGCGAGAGTAAACACAACACTATTTTTTTAATGTAACAAAATATGAAAACTAATGTCCACGACCATAAATTATGCGTCACGCGTGAATCAAGTAATCCCTTTTTCTTCTCTACGCAAACGTTATTACATTTCGTCGTTGTTCACCGCATCTGCAGAGACTGAGACGCGATCGAGTTACGCGAATTTTACTTTATACATTGCGACAGGCCGAACGATCACGTTACATTCCCCCCTTTTACTTAATTACGGAGGAAGTTTCGTTTGCGAAAGGAGCAGCGTACCTTTAATGCGTATTATTATGTAGATTTTATGCTCCATTTTTTCAATCGAACATTCGACACGTCGAAATAATAATGACTTCATATACCTTTAGATGCAAACAAGATATATCTTTGATATATAAACTGAATCATATGCAAATTGATTGATGTACATGTCGTCGTGAAATATGAACGCTTTCTTTCGCTTTCACTACGATACATTGTGAAGGTTTTACTATCTTGATATACAGGATGTTACAAAGCTATTGTTCTCTTTTTTTACAGATTTTTTAAAAATATAGAAGAATGATTCTTTATGTTGAAATATTTATAAATATAAATATTATGTATACAATATAAAATTAATAAGTATAATTAACCACAAGGTAATTTAAAAAAATATAGTCCAACTAATTAAACTTTAACAGAAGTTAAATTTTTTAAGCTAATAATTTGATTTAAAAAATTCAAAGTTTTATTAAAATTCAAACAATTTTTTGTTAAAAATACGAATTGCAAGATATATTTTTATTTACTGTAATTTAATGTTTAACCTTTAACAGACAGGTAATTTCTACATGTACAAAATTTCACTTATAAGGTTAATCGCGATGAACATATTCCGTATCCCTTCATAAATCATCTAAAATTACTGATCTTCAGCAAGCTACCAGATGCACTGGAAACTGGCGTCAGTTTTTTTTTGTTCCCGTTAAACGCCGTAACTGACGTGATTAATTTGCTGAGTAAACCTCTCGCTTGCGTAACGAGATACTCTCTTTTGTAAAGAGAGAGAGAAATAGTTATTGATTACAATATATTGCACTGGATTTTTATCATGCAATTGGCTGTATTGTATATGCACTTTAATCGACTTTATCACTTTTAGAAATCTTGCGATTTCCGATAATGTCGTCTTGACAGCATCTGCACGATTTTATTTGATAATATCTCTTCTCGCGAGACATGCGGGTTATAGAACTTCGTAATAAAACGTTACGCTATTAAAAAAAAGTGCATTGATTATTATGCAACAATCGTTTATTTTATTTTTAGAGTAATGCTATAATTCCGATAATACATTGAATTAAGTATATTATAATCTCTTGTTATATAATTAAGCATCTTTAATTTTATATAATAAAATATCTATTTTGAGTAATAATTGAATTATATAATACATATTTAATTAGATGAAAAGAAATATTAAAATAATTTATAAGTAATAACGTTTTATTATTATTTCATTATTTTTATTACTTGTTATTGATTTTATAATCCGTTTTGCAGGTGAACGTGTTTTGAGAATCGTAAATTAACGTTAAAAAGAAACGTATCTTCAAAAACTTGACGCGTAATTCCGGTTTAAATTTACCGATTTAATTTATTTAGTTTTGGTATGTAGAGCGCGCATGTTTTAAAAGTCTTGTCCACGAGTGACCATGAGTGTTTAATGTTTATGCGTTATTACTCAAAAGTTGTGCAATTCCAACGTTTTCTAGCAAAGTAGAAAACGCCAAGTGACCTCGGTTTGTCGTATAGCAATTCTCGCTTATTATATTATTCTAACATTTTTTGTCGAAAACTGCTTTTCTAACAACATTGCATCAATGAATTACAATATGCATATCAATGTATACAGCGTATTGATAATTAACCAATTTTTTTCTCGATTGCTCACGGACGATTCTTATTTGTATTATTTATAAGTTTTACACGTTTTCCTTCGAAATTTTTTACAACTTTGTTGCAACTAACATTTTTCCGCATAATTTTCTGCGATCGGTAATTAGCTGCGTATTATTTTAGCTCATTTCGGGCTAATAATTTCACTAACTCATGCGATGCGGCCGTTCAGTTTTTTTTTTTTCAGCGACGGTAAAAGGAAAAGGGAAAAAATAATAATTTGAGCGATCTTTCGCGTTCACGGTATTGCCCCAAACGCCTTCGCAATAATGCTACAGTTTTGTGTTACAAGGCTCGCATTATTACGTTCATTAACGAAGCATGCCCGATAATTAACGAAGCGACGGAAAAACGGTATTTTCGCACCGCGGCACCTACGCTCGGATTCGCGTCGTCGCTTAAGTCCCGTTCGTTCGCTTACGTAGGCATTGCGTTATCAATTACATCGCTCCTTACATAGTCGGTGCGCGATGACGGTGTAACACTTTGCGCGATCGTTTCGTAGTATGTTAATAAGCTGAAACCTTCGATCGCGCGGCAAGGTGAAATCATAAAGAATACACGATCCAATAAGTAGATCTGCGCGTTCGATAAATATTGATAAACCTTTGAAAGTTATTGCGTATGACCTTTTTGCATCATAGCTGCGCCGTATACAGATTACGATGATAACAAGATGGGTGCTTTGTGAAGTCCTAAGTAGGTCGATAGAGTGGATAATAAGCAGTTAATTTCGTTTGCGTTATACATCGATTATATGAGGCAAATTGTACTCGAAATTACAGTACATCTTGCCGATTACGCGAATGTTATGCAAATAAGTTCTCAGATGTTTCTTGAGAGTGAAAGCGGAAGTGATTAAGCAAGCTCTAGCTGATTTCCTAATTCTAATGTGCGGTTTTATAATCGCACTTCATATGTTATTTCGGGTTATACTTTAAATCGAAAAGTCTTATAGGTATGCGATGTAATAATAAGTATAATACAAAATTCGACAATGATATAATAAACGAGATTTCTCTTTTGTATACAATAATTTATTCGTGATTTCACTAATTATATTTGACATGTTTATTGAGTGTATCGCGGTAGTCGTTCGTTTATATATTTGTTTTTAATTTTACGTTGAGTGTTTCAGCATATTGAAGCATATTAAGTATAGTAAAATAATTATTTACACATATGAAACAAGTTATTTTTTGATAAAAGATATATTTTATATTATAAAGGCGTGTTTTCTTTACCAATTCAGGAGAAAAGAGACTTTCAAAAGAGCACTAATTATAATAGGCTACATGGCACACTATCAGTAATGGCGAAATTCCCTTTTTTCTCATAAGATGCTCATAAGATGAAATAAGTTCATTGTCCACGTAATAAAGTTGCGCGCAAATGTTTCACGTGCATCCCACAGCGCATTTTGTATGCGCGCGTTCTCGTCCCAGCGCGGGAATGCCTCGCACGATATGCTATTTTCCATTTTTTACTGATCATTCTTCTTCTTTTGATATAATACACGTATGACGATTACGAAACGCGCCACACGAGCGAGATCATTTCACTTCCGGCTGATTTCTTGATTCGCAAATTTGCGAGCAGGGCAAAACACGCACAAGTTTTAAAGTCGACCGAGATCCCCGAGGCTTCATTATTCTAATTGGCGGACGAGCGATTTGTTCGGCTGTCATGAAATTCTATGAGAAAGCGTGAGTTTCTCCCATATAACTCGGCGGCTCTATTGAGTTGAAGCTAAATTACGAGAATGAAATCGATATAACTGAAACTCTTAAATACTGCGATTCTAATCCGGTAGTAAGTTCGTGCTAAAATAAACAAAATTTCTGCATATTTAAATAAATTTCAAGAGGCTGCGCTTTGCATAAGAAAATTTTAGTCTCTCCGAATTTATATATATTTATCTGTGTAATTTATGTAGGAATTCCGCATTCATATGTGTGACGCATAATTCATGAAATCTTCTTCTAAAATTGGAAATTATTTTGTCTCCTGCATTCTTCTGTATCACGGATAAAAATGTTTCAATGTTATGGAAAATGACGGCATTACATCTTTTCGCCGTTGAAGATTTAATGTGACAAATGATGTGACGCGCGATTTTCAACATTGAGAATTGAGCTCGATGAAATTACATTTTTGTCCTGTGTCGTAAAATTACACGCCGTTCCCTGAAATGCGCGATAAGCGCGATTCACGTGATTAATGACACATGGTGTTTTTAATACATCAATTATGTCGTTTACTGAAACTCTGTTTGCACGTACGTCACGTCTCGTCATCGTTAAACGTCGCGCTCACTTTTGTGCGGCATGTTGTCGGGCGCCCGGGTGATTTAAGTCAACGCGAAATTTCTCGTCGACTTTATTACGTTCACGCCTCGTGGCTTAATTGAAGCGAGATATCGGAGCCGATGCCGATCTCTCTCGTTAAATTACAAACTTGGCCATTGAGTACAATCAATCGCGACACAATCAATCACGCGTGCGCACAAACGAATGATATTTTTTTTTTAAATACCATATATCTGTCTTTTCTTATTTATTACGTGATTAAATGCGTACTCTTTGGAAGAAAAAAAAAAAAAACATTTTTTCCACGGAAGAATTTTGTTTTCCTTCACCGAAGCATACATTACATAGAAGCTGTCTTATTATCGCGTGAAAATACAAAGATACAGCGTCTGTCTGCGAGATGCATCGAGTTAAACGCTTCGCAAATTGTCGACTTCCGGCATTTCCTTTCCCGAGGCGCCGGGATGCCGTGCAAAGTCGCGCGAAGTCTTTTTCAGTTAATGGCCCGCTTCTGGATTGTTTCATAATCCCGCGACGGGGAGAGGTCGCACCTTCTTTCGGCGCGATTCGTCAATTCCGCATTTCACACAGGGCGTAATTGCGGCCGCAACTCGTCGTTTCCCTCTCGATCCCGTTCCGGCACACACTTGCGCGTGTATGTTCTTTTTATTTATTTACTTAATCCAACGCTGTTGCGCCGTTAACGCGGACTTTCCCCGGCAATTAGCTCGAATCGGCGACGGGTAAGACGGAGAACAAGGACGTGCGTGACACGAGAGAAGGACGGCGAGCGGGTGGCAAAAGCGGAAGAATAGGCAGGTCGTTTTATTGCGTTGTGTATATGGGACCGCGTTGTACACCGCGTCGGTGCGCCCAAGCCACGCCAAGTATCTCACTGTGTACGTAGGCCGATCGTTTTCCATTCGCGCTGCTTGGGAAACGACACTTTTCCATAACAAGGCGTGGAAATGAGGCCTTATGTAACTTTTTTCCGCGACGCAATCGCCGACGGAATAATTTACGGATCTATTCTCTCGCGAGCGGTACGCCTTCCTCAATAATTTTCAGTTTTGTTGTCGTTTGTAACGATGCTGCTTTACCATCTTCGTACCTTTGTTAATGGAAATATGAACGTTGAACAGTAAATCAGATCGAGGAGGATAAGCACCTTATCTAATTACACAAATCTTTGGATGAAACAATACTTTCTCGCCTGTTACACGCTGAAGCCATCCGCGGAATCAATTTTACGCGCTTATGATAATATCCTTTGTTGTGCAACATTGGTGTGTTTTCCTATCTCTTAGCCTGGAGTAGCCTGGGAAAACGGCTCTTTTCCATAGCGTGCCGAGAGCTTACGAAACTTACGAGTTAACGCTACCGTCTGAATCCGCTGATGATGGATAGGCAATAAAATTAGCGAGATCGTCTGTGTAGATATTCGCGTCGAACTCGTGCACGACTGACGGAGAAACCGCGCTCTATCGACGCGAATAACAGTGTATCTATTACTAATAAATTATATAATGATTCCTTTAGAACATTTCTATAAAGATATGTTATCAAAAAATTGTAAAAAAAAAATAAACAAAGAAGAGAATTAAGAACGCTTTTTCAATGTTTTTAAATTTCTTTCTTTCTTGAAGAAAAAATGATCTGAAACCGTTAATTTATATGTAGAAATAATATAATTAATATTAAGATATATCGCTCTCTATTTTGTCAAATAACAACAGTGCTTTTCTGTGCATCGCGACGAAATTTGCGATAACTCGAGGACTTACCTTTATACGATATCGTTGTCGCTGCTCTGTCCGTGTCTTTGGGCATCTCGGTGGAATTTGCAGACACCAAGTGAACGTGTTGATCACAACCGGCTCGGTGTAAGTCTCGTACGATGTAACTGTATAACTGCAACGTACAATCAATTAGCTATCGGCTAGTCCCGCGATACCCTTATCGGGTTCAGCGACATAACGCAATGACAAGGTGCGCGCATAATAATATGTGGCGCATTACGCACACTTGCTACATTGTCAAGGCTTCTGGGTGAAGGTCGCTTAAAGACATAAATTGTACAATATTGTTGAAAATGAAATTATCACTCATCGAACGATCGCAATTTTAATGCGATCATTCTTCGCAGTAACACTAACTTTTCTACTCTTGAGCACACGTGATCCCCGGTCAACGAGTTGGAACACACAATCTCAAAGGCCGCGATTAGGAAGAAGATCCACGAGACTTCCGAGAGACTCATTTCAATAAATTAAGGATCTAAAAATATATATTCTCCGATTAGTTTCGATGAAAACATCAGTATGAATATTTCGGAACACTTTTATAATATACTCACTGACAAGGATTTTATTAGCACGAAAAAGACATCCGATCTTTATCTCTCAAATATATTTTCTTCAAAATAATTTGAATTGAAAATATCCTGGCCGCTGTCGGTCGTGTATATATAAAAGTGTCACTTCCATCTTCTCAGGTATCATTAGCCAGGCGAAAGAGAAACTGTTAATTAAAATACATCTCATCGTGTCGATAATTTAAAAGCTTGATGTCTTTCGGAGATGCATAATTGATTTATGTGACAGTATATTTTACAATATGCTATAATGTAAGTCATATATTATAATAATCTAAATAAAGTAGTTCCTGGTATTATTTGCAATGATTACTGTTGAGACATTTGTACCGGATGTGGTCGGAAGTACTTCGAACAGATGGTCCCTCCGAAATAATGTCCTCTTTGAGAGGAAGTATTTTAACTGGTTTAAATTGCTCAATTTCGCCCGGTACAAGTGCGACATTCAATATTGAATATACGTCAAACGTGAATGTCAAAGCGCGATAACAGTAATGCGGGGTATTGCATGAAAGATGAAGCGCTAAATGGCCGAAATCGATATTTGCATAAATGGGAATATTTCGAGTAACGAATTTCGTGGTAATTTGCTTGATAGTCCAATTATATAATTGTTATCTGTTTAATACCAAATCAGGTTCATGATAATATTATCATTAATATTACTCATTATGAAAATCTGGTATATGATTTGATATCCGATGTTCATATTGTTCATCGTGAATATTTGATATTGCAAATCTAGAAACGATTTTAATCGCAATTTTTATACCGAATGATCGAATGTGCGAATGTTGCGAGGAAATAAAAATCTTGTTTATGAGAACTGCTGTGGTATGTTAATTCAATTATCTATTTTATATTCATACCAACGATGGGCGTTTGAAATCTCCACATGTGCTACATAACACAGTCTTTTTCTAGTGTTATGGCTCGGCACGAGGCGGATAAAAAGTTGACAAGATGTCATGTTCATTCAAACGCGTCCACCAGCTGCTCTATTCGCGTGAGAATTTTGTTTCATAATTAGGACTATTACGACAGCCAGTTCCAGCAATTTGAAAGAAAGTTTTTCGATTGAAACACACATTTTCTAATTTTGTTCGTAATATATGCATGAAAGTTAGCTATTAGTAGGACACACAACGTGTAACTAAATTTATTATCTTTGTAAAAATTTAGACAGCTGAATACTCGAACAGTGTTTGATTTTTTAGATGTTTCTTTTTATGAAAATATTATCATTAATTTGAAACATAATTATATTCAATACAAAAGAAATCTTTCTTGATTCAATAAACTCTGAGGGATAACTAGTTCACACATTCGTTTCCAACTTTTTATTGCTTTCATATTTTATGCCATTTTATGCGTGTCTTTATATCAGAATTGCCGAAATAAAAAGGGTCCGTGACAGATTTATGCCGCGGCTCTCGTAAAAGACATTAATATTTTTAAACGGGGCGATTAAATATATAAATTTCAAGGATATTTATTTCTTAACATTACTTTAAAGGTCGTCAACTTTTTTGCGACCTCAAAAATCGCTTTTTATGTTTTATCTTCGAGTGTTAATTGAAATTTTTTCCAAACGCAATATATAAGATAAGAAATTCTGACCACTAAGTCAAACGCAATTACGCAAGTTGCAATTACCAATTAAGTGCCCGCGCACCAAGAATGCACCGAGTCTCATGTGGGACTGTAAACCAGCAATGAAACTCTAGATGTAAATTAACTTCGATGTTACCTCGGTTTACATTATGCATTTCACCGAGAACTTTTACGAGCGCGCTTATATAATTATAATCGATGCGATCGTGCCAATTAGGCGGATGTAGGAAAAAATGCAGAACCAATTTTCTCGCAATAGTTTACGACGGAAGGATGAAGAAAGTGATGCAACGTGTTTGTGCAATCGTCCGGTCGTTCGTTGTCTCGTAAAAGGGAAAAGGATACGCGTCATATTATCGTTATTTCGGCGTGCAGTTTGAATGGATTTGTCGGCATGTCATGCGGATTGATACTGTTGTATAGCTACGTATGAAAAAAAAAAACCTGATTGCGTTTTTCTCTGACGAAAAATGTGCAAATGGATTTTTATTACTATTTTGTGTAGCGACAAAAAATAAAACAGAATTTTGAAGAAACTAAATGTTCGCGTATCCTAAAATTTTAACTAAAAATTCACGTAGTTGATGTTTTGATAAAGTACGTACATAAATAACAAAAATTTATATTTAATGCATGACAAAAATACAAGTTTTCTTCCTACTCACTGCGATATGAGTAAACGCACGTCCGCTGACCTTTAATTCGTGCGACTCCGTAATTGAACGTTATATCACTTCCACTCTAATTTCACCACGTAATTAACACGTGCAGCGCGGCACTTAAGATCGAAATAAAGTTAGTTTTTCATTGCTTAAAAAAACTTTTTTCCCCTCGCGCAAAATAACCTCGCGTCAAAATACATAAAATACGAAGCCATATTGCTCGCACACTCAAATTTGCCGGCGTTATTTACACAATTTCGTTCGTGCCATGCGCTTCCGGCGAAATTCGAAGCTTGCGAGCGAATGTGAATTGCGGGCCACCTTTTATTTCGCGTAAACGTTGTGTCATTTCGCGAATGCACACAGTTGTGCACGGTTCTATGGTGTTTTTACTACTCGAGACTATTGCAAGGGCCGAGCCCTCGCTCCGGGAAATGTCACTGTCGCCTTTCACAGAACGATTCGCAACTGGTCTCAGGTTTGTAACGAGCAATTGGCGTCGCCGGCACTCGGAATGCACTTGTGGCACAATGAACTCCGACCCTCCGACAACCGCGACAACTACGACGACGACGACGTTAGGCGAGGGGAGAGGGGGGAC